TATTACTTATTTCAACTAAGAATAGAAAATTGCGTCATTCGATTCTATATAAAATAAACAAGGTTTACAAGAAATCTGGATTCATATAGAAAAGACCACAAAAACAAGACAAAAAAAATATATACGCGTCATTTTCATTTCTTTATTCATATAATTCTTATAAGAAAAACAAATCATAGTTTAAAACTGCTTCAGTCTTATATAATACAAATTTGCTCGTATTCTCGTATAAAATCATAACGCAGATGTAAAGCAGCTGTCGAAATAAAAATTTAAGGCTTATGCATGTATACACATAGGTACATACAAAGGCTCACCTCTTCATTAGCGCAGCATCGTGGCATGTGTTTGTATTTTCTAATCTCGGTCGAGAAGTATAATAACCAAAGGTTTAATTTTCAACAGAATACTGCCTTTTCCTTTCTGACGGCAGTTTTCGTTTTCTTATTGTGTCAAATAAAAAAAATAACGATAATGGTACGTAACTTAATCTAAACACTGGATGTACTTATTTTCTTGTTCACATAAAATTTCGCAACCGAGCAGCGTAAGACTAACAAGCGCAGAGAACCACACGGTCAAAATGGCGTCTTCTTCTCGATCGTTCTCTCTCTCTCTCTCGCTCCCCCTCTCTCTTTTTTCCACGTTTGCCCGCTCTCGCTCACATTCTTTAGAACTACCCGAGTACTTACCTACCTACATGCCCACCTACCCATTTACGTATATGCTTGACCAACTACCCACCTACCTACCAACCCGCCTATTTACGTATATGCCTATCTACCTGCATGCCTACTTACGCATATGTCCATCTACATACATATATCTACCTACCTACTTGCCTATTTACGTATAAGTCTACCTACTTACCTACCTACCTACCTACCTACCTACCGACCTAATCTGTCTTTCTTATTTGCTTATTTACTCCCTCTTTCGGCAAAATTTGCTTTCACGCAAGCATTTACAATTAATCGCATACTATTTTTATTTATGCTAAACTAAAGATAGAAGTATAGCTAGTTTTTTGAGAAAAATTTGTAATTACTGTATAATTATGTTCTATACAATCAATTTAACAAAAATACAAAAATACAAAAAATTCCTCATAAACCGATATACTCAATAGTTTTAAAAAACTGAAATAAATCTGAATATAACAATAAAAAAAAATAAATTATTAAAATGCTAAAGAATATAAAGAGTAAAAATAAGGATAAAGTATAAACAAAAAGAATATTGAAGTGGTCTATGCATTTTACCCTCAACTGCTTTGACAAATCCCAGTAACGTTATTATGCATTCATCAAATCATACAGTGCATCAAAATATGAAAAATTGCTCTCACATCCTAAATTATTTTTATAAAAATTATTTAAAAGTATTTACGGCACATTAAGGGGAAAATACCGAATTCCTATTCTTATTGGAAATTTCTTGAGTCCCTCATACTAATCCTTGCACATGTCCAATCTCACAATATTATATATAATATCCTAATATTATATATTATTATAAATATGTAATATTTATCATAAAGAAAAAAATTATCAACTAAATACAAATCATGTCATAAAAATTCGTTTTTCAAAATTATTTTTATTGCACATATCTACAATGAAAAACATTATTTGATTTTCTTAAAATTATTTCAAATAATGATTTTAAATACGAAAGGTTTCTCATTTGTTGTATATATTTTTTCTGCTTTTAATGTAATTTTTCGTTAAAAAGGTGTAAACTAGTATTAAATAATCTATTTTCATCAGACATTTTTCAATTAATTTTTAAAAAATAATAATTATTGAAAAAAATTAAAAAATATTTTTAATCTACCTTGTTAATATATTATATATTAATCCTATGATTCATTTTCATTTAATCAATTAATTAAATTTAATATTAATTTAGTTTTATAAAGTATGTAAATAAATTGCAATGACTTTTATAATAATGATTTTAAAATGTGTTAAATATAATGATCTAAATGCAATTTTCTGTCAATTTTAATATATTCTTTTTAATAAAAGAGAACCAAATAATTAATTAATATATTATTAATATATTAATAATTCCTTTTCTATACCATGAATGTATCTTATATATAATATGTTAGATAAGAAATAAGCAAATTTTTCAAATTTTTATTTACAAATTATAAATTATTTATTCGAATTAAAATATTATTTTTGGTTTTACGAAAAATGGTTACATGAAAAATATTTATAATATATATTATAAAATAATACATCAAATACGAAACAGGTTTTTTTTTTAGTTGACTTTTAAAAAGTATAGTTATAGTTATAATACAAAAAAAATGTAGTTTATAAAATATTTAAATAATAAATGAGGCCAAATAAAAAATTATTTTATTATACGGATTTTATATAAACGATTTAATTTGAGTTTTAAATTCTGTTGCTCAAAAAGTAATCATTTTTTTAATTTTACAGCATTGGAACTTGTCATACTTTGAAGTTAAGAAAATTAGTTTATGAATCTATTCAATGATAAAATGTAATATAATTGTAAAAAATAAAATCTTTAAATTTATTCATTTATGCGTTGTTAAAATTGTAACAATATTACAAAATACTTACGAAACAAAATATAGTTCAATTTTTGAGTTCTTTGAATTCTAATAGAAAGCACATTTAGATATTTGTAATACTCAATGAGACTTGTTACTTTCCACAATTTACTGTCATTTCGAATTAAAATTTAGTCTTCATATATTGATTTTATTAATGAATAGTTATTTACTTATTCCAAATTTAAAAATTAATGAAAAATCGGAATAGCATATTGTTATATTATGTACGCCTTCATATACATTTCTGCGCATATAAGCTCATCGTTTCCTTTAACCCTACGTAAACACTTCTTAAACTAATTTTCTCTAAAAATCCATAGTAGACATAATAATATTATGTCTTGAATGGAGTTAGATCCATTTTCTAGTCAAATAGTTAGCAACTAAAAAAGAGAAATCTTGAATCGATTTTATAAATATTCTGACCGAAATTTATAAAGTATCCTAAAAAAGCAGACATCATAATTTTCATTTTAACGTATTAAGGATATAATAATTTATAATCGTAAACATTCGACAGAAACTACGAATTCCACAATCAATTATCAAATTAATAAAGGTAGCAAATTACCAATTACAGCTATTGAAACAAATAAAACGATTTATATAAAATATAGTTTTGATAGTATAAAAAAAAGAATAAATTATACAAATCATAATACAATTAATAGTATTAATACATAATACAATTAATACATAATACAAACAATACTACCATTAATAGCAGAGTAAAGAATATTAAAGCTTTTAAATTGATGTTGTAAAACATTGAAAATTATCTTAAAAGGAAAGAAAATTAGCTTAAATGTAAGAATTATAATATAGCATTTCTCTATGTACCTTGTACTAATTAGAAAATAAATTTTGTTAAATTGTAAATATTGAAAATTCTGATTTAAATTAACATATTCCAATTCATCTTTTAGGCAGTTTACTCGAGTTTAGAAATGTACTATAAGGCATAATTTCCTACTGTGTATTATAGAATATTAAAATTTAAAACTATTTTTAATTATTCATAATAAAAACTTTACTATTCTGGTACAGTATAACACAATGTACTACTTCAATTAAATTGTGGTGATACAATTAATCGCTTTCCTAAATTAAAGGACATTTGAATTTACTTGGTCAACTTATCTTGCATTAATAAATGATAACTCTTTTATTGATGTATCATATGTTGTAATCCAAAAAAAATTCAATGCATCATAAAAACAAAAAAATCTAATCAAAGTTGCAAATGAAAGAGGGAAAATTTATATTAGTATTAAGTAACTTATTGTACTGAATGAATTGATATTAAAAATTTCAATATTTTATAATACCGAATTCTCAATTTATATTGTCATATCGATATTTTGTTTAAAATATATCTAAATACTGAATGAATTTATAAAATAAAATAAAATAAAGTGTAAGAAACAATTAAAAAAAGAATCAATTTTAGTAAACAAATTTTTAACTGCTATATAACATTAATATTATTGAGTAACACTATTCTAATTTTTCGTATTTTTATAATTTTAAAATATATTTCATATTATAAAAATAAATATTTTTTATACAAGAATGGTTTGTTAATATTGATGTTTAAATTATTTTTCAAAGTAAATAATATTACAATTTGATTCCTTATTTTGATAACAAATATTTTAATTGAATTTTATTAAAAATTACAAAATTAAGGTAAAAGTAAGTATACGGTCAATCTGATTCCAACACGTGTTGGAGATTTCAAGTTTGTTTAAATTTTCTAATAGAATAGATGTATTATATTAAATTGTATATTTTTAATTTTTTATGCATTTTATGTATATTTATTTATTAATACAATTAAATTAAAATAATATTATTCAAATATATTTACAAGTTTTATATATTTGTAACTATTTTCTAATTGAAACCCCTTATATTACAATTTGTTCAACAAAAATAAATATAATTTTGACCGTACAAATAACTTGTATTGTTATATTCTTACTTTTTAACAATATGCATAATTAATAATGTTTAGTTACATAACTCAGTTTTCATACTGAATACGTTTTGCGTCAGTAATATGAGATTTCTACTACGCATGCCTCAAAACTCAGTATCTATGATTTATACAGCCAACCAACTGACTTCAATCATTAGGTTTTAGGCTTACCGGAAAGTTATTACATTGATAAATTAGTTTTTCTTTATATAATTTAATAACATTTATTTGACTAACATGTATATTTTAGTAATTGAAATATACTACTACGATATATGAAATAGTTAAAAAAATTGTTATTTCAATGTTTAATAAACTTAAATAAAACTAAACATCTAACCTCAAGTTTTAAAAATATTTTCTTTAATATTTATTAATTAAATTAATTAATTCCTTTTTTATTATAAATCTATATAATTTAAAATGGCAGATTCTGATGAAGATATTGATAGAGATTTAGATACAGAAATGAACCTAGCTGGTTTTATGTTTGGCAATATTGATGAGAATGGTCAGCTTGAGGATGACATTCTTGACTCTAATGCAAAACAGCATCTTGCTTCTCTATGTCAGTTAGGTTTCAGTTCATTTCTACATGAAATAATATCAGAAAATAAAGATACTGAAACAAAAAATAATAAAAGTAATAAAGATTCATTAGAGAATGGAGAAACAATTCAAAATCAAAAAGATGATATAGATTATCTTATAAAAGATCCAACAGCTTTTGATTTTTCAGATATTAATGAGTTAGCAGAAGATTGTAATGAAGACATTACAGGTAGATACACATTTTTTAAGAAATTATAAATGCTAAACTTTCAGTTTTTCAAATAATATAAAAATTTTATAAATTTATTTCATTTATATCAATTTAAAATTAAAATAATTAAATGAAAATAATACATTTTTTATATGAATGTTTTTGATCTTATAAAATTTTATTTTTATTATGTAATATTATATAGTTTAAAATATTTTATAATAAAAATTTTGATTGGTTTTGTTTAGTTCATAATTATTTTAATATTTTTTTACAATAAATAATATAAATAGTATTAATAAATAATATATTTGGTAAAAATTCAAGCAGAAAAAGAAACTGATTATGATGCAGATGATGAAGAGGTAGAACATAAATTAGATATTCAATTAATGCCTCCTCCACCTATTCCTGAAGAAAAAGAATTGTTAACTGCAGAGGAAGCAGAAGCAGCATTAAAGCGAAAACTTGAAACCCCACTTGCTTCTATGTTACCATCAAAGTATGCAAATGTCAAAGTTACTGAACTCTTTCCTGATTTTCGTCCAAACAAAGTTCTTAGATTTTCAAAATTATTTGGTCCTGGGAAACCTAGTAGTTTGCCACAAATTTGGAGAGGTGTTAGAAAAAGACGTAAAAGAAAAAGACATCATGATATAAAAGATTCAGATTCTGGGTCAGATGAAAATAATAGAAAACCAAAATTCAAGGTAAAAATTACCTTTTTTTTTATTAATACAGTTTAATTAAATAATTAATTCCATAATACTAATAAGTATTTTCAATTTGTATGTAATTTTAATTTTAGGGTTGGGTAATGAATTATTTATCAGAACTTGTTGTCGATAAACTAGGTGAAGATGACGAAGAAAAATTGTTAATGCCTATCAAAGATAAAGAACAAATTGGAAAAAGTGGAGAAACTGGGGATAACGGTGATATGGGTCCAAAAGTTGCTGATTGGCGGTTTGGGCCAGCACAAATTTGGTATGATATTTTAGAAGTACCTGAAACAGGAGAGGGATTTAATTATGGATTCAAATTATCTGAAAAGGTATATTTCATTGTAATGTTAATTAATTAAAATTTTGTAAAAAATAAATTAATTCAATATAAATAAAATTCTGATATTGATTCAATACAACTACAAATAAAAATAAATAACTATAGTAAAATTTACATAGTGAGTTCATGAAAAACTATACTTCAACTTTACACTGAGTACCAGTGAATTACTAAATAGAAGAAAATAAATAAGGAAACTCATAACTAAAATAAGAATAAATAAATATAGCATACACCTTTATGTAACTGTTATAATTATTTCATACAATGTATATTATAAATAAATAGTTGACAAAAACTTTTTAAAATAAACATTACTTCAATATATTTTTTTATATGTCCAGATTGACGAAGAAAAAATAAATATCATTGATTGTGCTGATGATGCTTTTTTAATGGTTTCTCAATTACACTGGGAAGACGATGTTATATGGAATGGTGATGATATAAAACATAAAGTAAGTTTATGATATAGAACATAAAATTAAAAAAAAATTTGTTAAGCAATGAAGTTATAAAATATTGATTTCATGATTGCCACAATATTTAAAAAAAAATTCAAGTTTTAATCGAATAAAATTTTAATAACAGAATTTTATTATTTAATTTCTACTCATTAAATAAATAAATAGAAATATTAAAAAATATATAGAAACTAATAATAACTTTAGCTATTCATTATAATAATGATACATTCTATGAAATCAATTGTACAATTTTCAATTTAAAATATAATATATTTATGTAATATGTATAAATTTTAATAATTAATAGTAAAATAATATTAAAGTACTTGTAAAAACTTTCTGCAGAAATGTATTATTGAATTATAAAACATAAAAAATATAAAATTTTGCATTAATTAAAGTATTATTTTTATCTAAGAAAATATATAATATACTTATATATTTTTATTATTATGTTCGTTACATTTTTTATTATAAATTAATTAAATTTTTTATTACTGTGTTCTATAAATTATTCCCTTTAAAATTTGAAATTTTGTTTTATTTAGGCTAGACATAAATTAAACACAAAAAATAATGCTGCTGGTTGGGTTCCTTCTAGTGATAATAGAACTGCTCAAGCCTTTAGTCAACCAGGTAAAGGTGTACCAATTCCAGTAGCTCCAAATGTCAGATTAGCTACCTCACAAATTTCTACACCTATGCATTTACTATCACAGAAAAATAAAATGTAAGTGTTACATTTAGATTATTTCATCTAATAATCTGAGACAATAAAATAAAAAAGTGTATTTTATATATGTTTATGAAAATGTGAAATCTTAATATCACATAAGTTAAGGTTGGGTATTTTACATAGACTAAAATGAATTTTTTACTTTAATTAATTATAAAAGTATTTAAAAATGTATTTGAATTTCTTTAAATAATAATACCATAACAACTCAATTTATTGACTTAATTTAAATTTGTCTAGCATTAAAGTCATAAATAAAATCATATAACCAAAGTATTATTAAAAATATACTTCAATTTTTAGACTACTAAAATTTTAAATACAATATCTATAAAATATCTAGTTTATCAATATGCATATAAATATATATATATATATATATATATAGAATATATATTATAAATGCCATAACATTTAATGAATATCATTTCATAATTGATTCTGTAAATAAAAAAATGCCTGTAAAGTGTTATTAATAGTCCCTGATCATTAATGAAGTTAGTTCTTTTGTTGATATTTTATGAAGAATCGTAAACATTTTTTACAAATTTTAAAAAAAGAGTATTTTTTAATGTATGACTATATTACATATATTCTTGAGAATTTTGCATTACCATCTAGTTATAAATTTATAACATGCCATAATTTGATATTTGTTTTAAAAACTACTTATAAAATTTAAACAAAATTGTTTATTATAAAATCAGTTTATACTGAAATCTCAAACAATAACATATCAAAGCACATTTTTTTAATTTGTAGGAATAATACAAAAAATCAGCACCAACACTCAGAATATCATGATGACACTTGGTATTCTATCTTTCCAGTTGAGAACGAAGAGTTAGTATATGGGTTATGGGAGGAGGAGATTATCTGGGATGCAGAAAGAATGAAGAAAATACCAAAACCAAAAATACTGACATTGGATCCTAATGATGAAAACATCATCCTGGGTATTCCAGATGATATAGACCCAGCATTGTTGCATAAAGATAATGGACCTCAACCCAAAGTTAAGATTCCTCACCCCCATGTAAAAAAGAGTAAACTTTTACTTGGCAAGGCTGGAGTGATTAATGTATTGGAGGAGGATGCACCACCACCACCACCAAAGTCCCCTGACCGAGATCCTTTTAATATTTCAAATGACACGTGAGTTTGATTACTTTTTTAATTTTTATTATAAAATAAAACAGTGAATTTTTGAACATTTAATTAAATCATCTAAAATATATTAATATTTTGGTAGTAGAAAAAGGAAACTTTCAAATAAATATTTTAGTTTTAAAATAAATATTTTAAAATAATATAAAAATTATTATTAGAAAACTTATTTTTATTTTTAATCATAAAAGGTTATTATGAATTTAAATATTTAAATTAAATTGTTATTAATGTTCCATAATAATTATATTTATTTTTATTTTGAACAATTTATAAGTTTCTTTTTGAAATTAAAAACAATGTTTTACATTAAGAATTATAATTATAAAATTTAATATAATAAATATACATTTTTGTAGATACTATCTACCAAGATCATCAGAAACAACATTAAGATTGAAAGTTGGTGGTGGAAATCTTATTCAGCACAGTACTCCTGTGGTTGAACTACGTGCTCCATTTGTTCAAACTCATATGGGTCAAATGAGGTTAAGGAATTTTCACAGGCCACCACTAAAACGATATAGTCATGGTCCTTTATCACATATAGGTTCACATGGAGTACTACCGTTATTAAAGCATATTAAGAAAAAATCAAAGGTGATAGTTTTGCTTATCATTTTAAAAATCAATTGACAAAATACAGTAGAAAAAACAGATCTTTGTTATAGTGAATTTGTTATAAATTATTTATTATTCATTTAATAATTACAGTATTTAATAAAAAATTCCATTTAATTAGATAAAGTATACACTTAGATTTAGTTAATGATAAAAATTATTCAATAGAAGTACTGCAAAGTTCAAAATAAAAAATAGTTTACAAATTTTTATTGATGGTATATAAAAATTTGTATATTCATAAACACTTATCCATATCTATATATTTTCATAAGAGTATAACTTTTAATCATACGTATCTATATTGTGGATAAATATCAATTGTATTACTTGAATTTAGTTTGAACATCAATAAAATAAAAATAAAATAAATTCTTAATTTATTAAAAAAATTCATAATCCTTTAAAAATTTTAGATGCGGGAACAGGAACGAATAGCTTCAGGTGGAGGTGATGTTTTCTTTATGCGCACTGCTGAGGATCTAACAGGTCGAGATGGTGAGCTGGTACTTGTTGAATTCTCAGAAGAACATCCACCTTTGATGAATCAAATAGGAATGTGCTCAAAAATGAAGAATTATTATAAGCGTAAAGCTGGTAAAGATCAGGGCCCACCTAACTATAAATATGGTGAAACAGCTTATGCACACACTAGCCCATTTCTGGGAATACTAACACCCGGACAAAGTATTCAAGTTGTAGAAAATAATATGTACAGAGCACCAATTTATGAACATCATGTACCAAATACTGATTTTTTAGTTATTAGATCAAGGTGAGTGTGTATTAATGTGTTGTACATAAATATAGCACATGTATAGTAAATAAGAAATTCATAATACTCTTATGTTTAATTTTTAAAAACAACTTAATTTTTATATATTTAATATTATTGATGAATTGTAATGTTTAATGCAAATATTAATTGTATAATTAATGTCTATAATAATTTTTTTACAGGCAACAGTATTACATTCGTGAAATAGATGCACTTTTTGTAGCAGGACAAGAATGTCCCCTTTATGAAGTACCTGGTCCAAACTCTAAAAGAGCAAATAATTTTGTAAGGGATTTTCTTCAAGTTTTTATTTACAGATTGTTTTGGAAGTCAAGAGATACACCTCGAAGAATAAAAATGGATGATATTAAAAAAGCTTTTCCTTCACATAGTGAAAGCAGCATTAGAAAACGTTTGAAACTTTGTGCTGATTTTAAAAGAACTGGTAAATATCTATAAATTGTTATTAATTATAAAAATAATATATCTATAATTTTTTTCCATTAAAGTAGCTAAAACAAATTTTATACTTAAAATAAAAATTAAAAATCATACATAGATTTAAGAGGTATTAATAATTTAATGATAGGTTTGAATAACTCTTTTCAATAATTTTAAATCAAGAATATATGTACATGTTATATTGTACTACTTGATTTGATTTAAAATATTTTTATCATTAAAAATAATCAAATTAATTTACATTTTCCTACAATTTTTGAAAAATTTAAAAATAATATTGTAATTTAACATACATTTAAATAACAAAACAATAATAGAAAATATCTATAATTCCTTTTACAATTTTAAATTAAAAATTTTATTTTTACTGTATAAAATTCCTTAAAAATTATCAAAATGCAGTGAAAAGTAATTACAGTTTTTTTTTATAAAATAATCTGCAATAGATTACATAACATTTCTTTAATTTCTGTATTGTATTTATATAATTTATATAATTTTTTTATTTTATATATTTTACATAGTGAAGAACGAAAAAACTAAATAGCATTGTCACTGATATTGTTACAAATTCTTACTTCACTATCCCATCAATTATTTACTCTATAAATATTATTACTATTTCGCAGTTACATTATTTTATTCTGACGATCTGATTAATATAAATTTATTTCTGATTTAATGTCCTTATTCTTCGTAAAAATTTTATCTTTAACAAGCTGAAAGATTTTTCATTGTATATTATAGTTTTACATAAAATTGTGTATAGAATAAAAATAAAAATATGATTATCCGTCTATTTAAAAATAATTAAAATATTTTTAACTGTGAGGAATGGATTCAAACTGGTGGGTAATAAAGCCCGACTTTCGATTACCCACGGAGGAAGAAATACGTGCTATGGTCTCACCTGAACAATGCTGTGCTTACTTCAGTATGATAGCAGCAGAACAAAGGCTAAAAGATGCTGGCTATGGGGAAAAGTTTCTATTTACACCGCAAGATGATGATGATGAAGAAATGCAGTTAAAAATGGATGATGAAGTCAAGGTTGCACCATGGAATACGACACGGGCTTACATACAAGCAATGAAAGGCAAATGTCTCCTACAGTTAGCAGGCCCAGCTGATCCAACGGGATGTGGGGAAGGATTTTCTTATGTTCGTGTACCAAACAAACCAACTATTAGTAAGGTAACAGTAACATCAACTAAATTTTTTAGATTTTATTATAAATTTTTATTGGTAAATTTACAATGTAATATATCGAAAATAATTCCTAATATTCTATACAAGCTTTTTTTAGGAAGAACAAGAAGCTCAACCAAAACGTACCGTTACTGGTACAGATGCTGACTTGCGGCGTCTTTCTTTGAACAATGCCAAAGCTTTGCTACGTAAATTTGGCGTGCCCGAGGAAGACATAAAGAAGCTTTCACGATGGGAAGTCATAGATGTTGTACGTACTTTATCAACTGAAAAAGCCAAAGCTGGTGAAGAAGGCATGACTAAATTTTCACGTGGTAATCGATTTTCAATAGCTGAGCATCAAGAACGGTACAAAGAAGAGTGTCAACGTATCTTTGATTTGCAAAATCGAGTGCTTTCATCAAATGAAGTACTCAGTACAGATGAAGGTGAAAGTTCTGAGGAGGATAGTTCGGATATTGAAGAAATGGGTAAAAATATCGAAAATATGCTTAGCAATAAGAAGACCAGCACCCAATTAAGCCTTGAACGGGAGGAACAACAAAGGCATGAGTTGAGAAAAATGCTTATGAATGATGCACCAGGTAATTGAATTTACGTTTATATGCAATTAACCGAAATTTTTTAATGAAAAAGATTGTTTGCACAATAATTTATTTTATCAATAAAATGTAAAGAAACCTATTTTACTAAATCTAATAGGTACACAAGATGATAAAAAATTGAAAGACAAGAAGAAGGATGATGAAGAAGAAAACTCTTCTTCGAATTACAATTCACAGCTGGGTCGTGTATTAAAAATTCATCGTACATTTCGTAATCCCGAAGGTAAAGAATTCACCCGCGTGGAGATTGTCCGAAAGCCTGCTGTTATCGATACGTACATCAAAATTCGTAATTCAAAGGATGAAAGCTTTATCAAACAATTTGCTACACTAGATGAAGCTCAGAAAGAAGAGATGAAACGCGAAAAGCGTCGTATTCAAGAACAACTGCGTCGCATCAAACGCAATCAAGAGCGCGAGCGAATGTTGATCGGCAGTGCATCCTCTGTGCTAAGCTCCAACCTCATTTTGGAACGCACTATAAGTACTAGTAACCTTAATGGTGCGAGCAATAATTCTACTAATAGTCAAAATTTTGTACTTCCAAGTACTTTAGATAGAAGTGGAGCTTCAACACCTATTACTACAGGTGTTAACGGCTCAAACTTGGCAGCCACCCATAACTTCGCTTTAACAAGCCTTCAGCATATTGGTTCATCCTCAGCTTTGGGTGTTCAACAGCAGCACCATGGTAGTAAGTCACGGCATTCCAATTATGAACAATTTTCCAACTCTTCATCACCTACTAAGCGCAAAAAGTCAAAGCTGAAACCCGATCTTAAGCTTAAATGTGGAGCTTGCGGTAATGTTGGGCACATGCGTACAAATAAAGCCTGTCCACTTTATCAAAACAGTATGGCCAACGCTGCACCGATGAACGTTGCTATGACTGAAGAACAAGAAGAGGAAATTGAGAAGCAGCTTAACACTGAAGATCAAGATCTAGTCAATATCGACGGTACCAAGGTCAAATTGTCCTCAAAACTTATTAAGGTTTGGTATATTATAAATTTTATTAAAATAAATGTGTAATGATAAAAGATAAGATATGAAATTTCATACACAATCCTATATAATTGGGTAATATAAATAATTTTACAATGTAATAATTAAATAAATTCTTTCTATTTTAATTGCATAGATCATGTGTAAATGTTTGCATTTAAAAACTAGACATTTCCAAAGAAAAGTGATGATAGGCTAGGAGCAATTTAAATTTTAAATATATTTCTTTAATTCTAATGTTAAACAATGTAATGATTGTACAGCATGCCGAGGAAATGAAAAGGCGTACGTTATTACTGAAAGTCCCAAAAGATGCTGTATCAGCTAGGAAACGCAAGCGACCAACTGGTGATGATCATTGTGATTATTTAAAAAGATATCAAAGGCCAGCAGGTGCCAATCGACGCCGTACCGATCCAGTCGTTGTACTGTCAACAATACTTGAAAACATTCTCAATGATATGAGAGATCTACCTGATGTTCAGCCGTTCCTTTTTCCCGTCAATGCTAAGGTATAATAATTTTTTTAACAGAAACAGAACATAAAAACAATAAATATCAATTATTTAAGTACAATTTTTGTAATTAGCCAATTACGTTTGTGAACATTTATCTGAATTAGAAAAAAGTCTTTATATAGTGACAGTAATTCTGATTGATCAATACATTTTTAAACAATTTATTAACTTGTACAATCAATTAATTCTAATATAATTAAGAAAAAAGGAAGATGAAAAATTGTTAAGGTACAAAATAGAAATTTAAATAAGTAAGTTTATATTTTAATAGATTGTCCCTGATTATCCGCGAATTATAAGCAGACCAATGGATCTTCAGACAATACGTGATAATCTACGTCAAAAAAAATATCAAAGCCGTGAGGAGTTTCTTGCTGATGTAAATCAAATTAAAGAAAATAGTTTACTATACAATGGTCCAAAAAATCCGTTAACAGAAGCAGCACAACGAATGCTTGATTTTTGTGTGAAACAAATTGCTGAAAAAGAAGATAGAATAATGAGACTTGAAAAGGCCATTAATCCACTTCTTGACGATGATGATCAAGTTGCGCTTTCTTATATTCTAAATACAGTAGTGAATGATAGACTAAAAGCTATGCAAGAAGCCACGCAATTTCTCAAACCCGTTAATAAAAAGATTATTAAGGATTATTACAATATTATTAAAAGACCAATGGATCTTGAGAGTGTATCAAATAAAATTGCTGGTCAGTAATTAATTTTTTTTTTATTATAAAATAACAATAGCTTTAATACATTTTTTCTAATATAAATTTATTAGAATAGAATTTCATTTCAATTTTATATATTATTACAATATAAATTCAACTCGATAATTACTTATATTAGAATTCCTATAATATTATTATTAATTTACAACGTAATCGTTGTATTCAGTATATCAATATATTGATACTAAATATGAATTTCTTTTTTATAATTATTAATATATATATATATATATATATATATATATATATATATATATATATATATTTAATAGCTCATAAATACCATAGTCGTGCAGAATTTATGAGAGACATTCAACAAATAGTAAATAATTGTGTACTTTACAATGGTGATAAATCACTTTTGACTGCAAAGGCTGAAGTATTGCTTAAAGTATCCAAAGACACTCTAAGCGAGGTATGATTTAAGTGACATAATTACATATTATGACTTTCAAAAACTATTTTATCACTGAAATCTTTTATTTTACTTTATCAATATACCACAAAAGAATCAACATAAATAATGATTATCATTTTAGTATGATGAACATCTTTCACAATTAGAAAAAAATATCTCTTTGGTACAACAACGAGCTATGGAACAAGCAGATATTGATAATTCATGGATTGGTGATGGCAACTATGAAGAAAATTATACCATTGCTGAACCAGAATTTAGAGAGGTAAATAATTACAGTTGTCTATCATAGTGTTGCTAAAAATAAAATAATATAATTACCTATATATTATACTTTTATAGAGTCAAATAAGTTCTCCAGAACATCCATTTGGTAAATCTAGCATAGACGATTATGATTTTGTAGATGTTGAAGGAGATGTAGATGCTGAATTAAGCAGACCATCTGCTTTAAAAAAAAAAGATGTGCTTGAAGAAGGTAAAACGGTTTATTAGTTGTCTTCATTTTTAACTTTTATTTTCGATTGATAATACATCAAATTAAAGAGAATTAAATAATTGACTAAATGATTTATTTATTAATCAATATTATAAAATATAATAAACACAGTTTATTTATTCATTTATATATGTGTAGCTAGACGATCACGTGGTAAATAATCTAAATAAAATATTTGGAATTTTATTTTAAAGATTTTGAAAGTATACAAATGTCTTTAATTACAATCTTTATACCTTACAAATTCTATTATTTTAGAAAAAAAATATAAATGAAAATAAATATAAATAATATAAAATTTGTTTTACATTTATCTGTTACCAAAAAATTCAAATGAGAAATTCTTATTAATGATTTATTAAAATCTAATGAAAATTATTTTTTTAAATACATATTCTCAACATAAAAAATATTGTACAATCTGCAAGTTTAATGATAAATTTGAATATACATTTTATGTATAATTTACATTTTATAATATATATTATATTTTTATCAAATTTTAATATTGAATATGATACACATTTTTTTCACAAGCATATTTTTCATGTCATTCTGTTATCATTTTAGATTTACAATTTTCAAGTGAAGATGAATTTGATGAGGTGCCTTTTAGTGTTGACGATGCGTTCGAATCTAACGAATTAAAGCCACTCATACCAGTGGAAGTGAGACCTGATGAATTACCTGCAGATGATGACAGTCAACAAGTAGCTGAAGCCATGATTCAACTTGGCAATGCTGGATCTTATTTGGAAGAGCCATCGATACAACAACATGGCAAGTATTAAAATGAAATAATATCAAGTCAAGCATACAATAAACTTAATTATTTTAGAATTTAAAATAAAAATAAATTTTCTTTCAATTAATTAGAAATTAGTATCACTAAATTAATATAACTAAACACGTTTATAGTACACATTGATTGTAATTAAAAAATGATATATAAATGAAATAATATTTTTGAAAACTATAAACATTTATTTTAATGAATGTATATGCTGTATAAATATATTAAAACTTTTTATTCTACATTAAGTTATTGGAAGTAATTTATAGAAAATTTTTAAGTAAAAAATAATTAAATAAAGAAGGCTAATAAAAATAACGATTTAAAAAGAAAAGAATATTAAAATTTGAAAAATTTTATAACTTTTATAACTTATATTTTGTAATAATTAAATTCCTTAACTACTAATAAATGTGTAAAAAACTTATTTACAATTAGTAAATTATTCAGAAAATTTATATTCTTTCTTTAGTTGGTTCTAATTAATACTTTATTCTTTGAAGATGTATGTTATTTATACGAAATATAAAGTAATTTATATATTGCACTATTAAAAATAGCATAAACTTCATCAATTTTGAATATTTTACATTAGTTGACTGATTAATGTAATTTTTAGTACTATTACATTAACACGCAACAAATATTTCTTACGTTTACAGAAGAAAGTGTTGATTCAAATTATGATCCGTCCGATTCGTTTTTTACTACTTTACCAATCAGAAAGGATGATGGAGAATGTAAGATTCAAGATGATTTAGCTGTTTCTGAAAGTGACGAGGAAGAGCAGAAATCTGACATAAAAAATAAAGTACAATCTCTCTCAACGACGGAAGAAGAATTAGGAAGTGTTTGGTTTTAATAACAAATTATGCTTCTTGTAAAATATTTTTAAAAGAATCATGTTGAATCGATAGTCAAAATAAGCAAATTTTATTAGTGAGGTGTAATTCGTATATAAACATTTATAGATAAATTAGTATTAGATAGATACATGATATATTTTGCTCACAAATCAACAAATTGTTTAATTTTTAATATAATATAACATCCTTTGTAAATAAATTTTATATTAAAATTTTTTAATTTTAATTATATCATAGATTAAAAATGATTGATACTTATTTATTTTCTTAAAAGATACATTTATTTAAACGATTATACTAAATTTATAAAATAGAATGATTTTCTAATTTCTTTTTGTATTAATATGCATTCAAAATTGTGAGAATTTAATTAATTAAACTCCATTAAATGAATATGAATTTTATAATTAGAATAAATTTTAGCACTGAAACTGTATAATTGAAAACTAAGCAAAGCGACAAAAAGTAATTTTAAGAATTTTGTAATATACTCTGATATTGAAATAATTTAAAGTATAAATAAAATGTGTTTATCCTTAATTATAACTGTTTTACTTTTTTTAAAATATAAATAAATAAAAAAATAATTATAATATTGTGTTATAACATAAATAAGAATCCATTAACAAATATGTAATAACATAAAATTATGTTCAGTTTCAGAAAGTTAAATAAATATAAAAAATTAATTAACAAATCATTAACTTTTTAAATAATTATAAAAAATTCTTTTTCAAATTACAATTTATACAATAATTTATATTATATTTTTTAATTCTACTATGGGTACTTACTTAATTCTTATATGAAATCGATGTAGTTATAGATTTTATCGATTCTTTCAATCTAAACCGTTTCCATAACCCATAACGTACTTCCCAGTCAATAAGAAACAAATCAGACTTGTTCCAAAGAACATGATGTTCTGCAAATTTATAATGTGACTGCAGTGGTGGATTAAGATGTGGTGCCCATTGAGCTCTTTCCATCACTACTTTATTTACATATATATGAAAGTCTTTCGCATTATGAATCCAACATATGAAGGATATAACAGAAATGATGATGGCATGAATTTAAAAAAGTACATTAATTAAAAAAACTTTTTAGAAACCAATTTTTGTAATTAATTGATTGAAATAATATGTATAGATGTACATGATATTTATAATTCAAATCGTAATGTTTGATACAAATTTTTTTAATAAAAAATGATACAGTTAATTTTTTGTACAATAGCCATTTTATAAGACTTCTAAATATAATTATTTTATTTGTATGCATTCTAATACGTATTAGATTTCTTTGAGTCAATAACTACTTATATGAAACTCGACAATTAAGTATTGGAAAAATTTTTCAAAACCTCATAAAAAATAATTCATAATCCTTTCATTTAAAAAATTTTTTTATTAATTTTATGTGATACGTTGTTGTAAATTTCAAAATTTGTTTAACGTAATTTTTATTATCAATACTTTGATGAGAATGTAAATTTTCAAGATTTGTACATATTAAAATCTAATATATGCTTTTTTAATATATTGATTATTTTTGTGGTAAAGTTTTTGTAAAAAGGAAAACAAACTTGTATATCAAAATTAATTTTTCTTAATTAAAAATATTATTTTATTTAATAAAAGTTTCTAACCAATTTGATTTGATTTTTTTATAATAATTTCTTGAAGATTTATCATAAGGCATGATAAAGCAGCAGCAGTGAATCCACAGGGTACTTCTATGGCTAATAAACAAGCTGTACAATATGTTGTTTCTAAATTTAAACGAGTATGTCTGTGATTGATAAAACTCTTAATTAAACTTTCATGTATAATTTCTCTATGTTCCTTTAAGAATTTGATATCTTTTTTATCGTATTTATTAACTCTTAGTGTTAATTTAACATCTTCAAAAAATATTTTTGGAGTATTAAATAACATTATATTTTTACCTCTATCAATAAGATGTTGTAAAACACGATTTCCTAATAAAGATACAAATCGAATATTTGATTTAATCATTTGCATTATAAGAGACAGAATATCAGAAGTTAGAATACTAGCAAGCAATTCTCCTTTATGCATATAAGCTGCATATTCCAAAGTACTACCGAAATTAAGAATAACATTATCATTTATATTTTCATTAATTGACCAAGAACTCATATGTTGAATTATGATAAGAAGATGATTATTGGATGTATTTTGGATAATATGCCTAACACATAATTCTAAGCTACTTCTTAAATGAGTAAAGGGTAATTTGTCTAACTCTTCAGAAACATTATATAAACTCTTATAGTACAGATTAAGAAATCTTTTTAAGAATATTACAGTTTCTTCAGTTTCTGGCCAATTATAAGTATGAAACAATTTATATAATACTTTTACAATAAATTTGATATCAACTTCCATAGAATTTTCTGAAAATTCAATTTTATCACATATTTCATGATACACTAATGACGCATTATATCCATATTCAAAGAGACTTTTAATTATATTAACACAAACTTCTTTTACTTGCCAAAATTTTTCTTGATTTATGATGTCAATAATAATTTTTATAATATCTCCTTGTTTTTCTGTTATAAAAATTTTAAGTAACTTAATATAATTGTTCTTAGCATGCTGATATCTTCTTTTACACTTTCTTTTTGATAATACGGTTCTTATATGTACCGGAATGTTTGCATATTTTAATAAAATTTTAATCGTACAAGCAACTAATTCGTAATGATTTTGAGACTGTAATTGATAACGTGAACTTTTACAAAGAATTTCTGTTATTAGCTGTAGTTCTTTATCATTTTGTAATTTATTTTCACTATCTGAAAATTCGTTTGAATAAAAATTATTTAGTTCGCGTAATTTTTTAGTTATTTCTGCATCAGTAAAATATATTAAAACATGAGGAAGACAAAATTTCATTTTGTGCTCAGATATAATCAATTTGTGAATCAAACTACCAAAATTCTGTTAAATCATTACTCATTTGTTAATTATTTAGTTTACATAAATCGTTATTTATAGAAAATTATGCAATAAATATATTTTAATAAATTATATGCATAAACAAATTCTAGTTTCTTATATTTTATTTTTTAATTTTTAATTTATAAAAAATTTGAAATTATTAACGCTATAGTCCTATATTAATATTAAATGTATTAATAGTCGTATTAGTAATAAAATCTAAAAATTATAAAATTATTGAAGTTAAAATATGTAAGACATTTCATATAAAAATTTTAATTATACCATTATATACAAGTAGTATCAATATATTTTTTTATTTATTGTGACTTTATTTGCAATAACGATGAAGATTTTTTTACTTTATTAATTTATTAAATTCAACAAAGAAATATTATCGATATAAAGTATACATTACTCTTGATTGTATGTATGTATGACTATGTAGATTGAAAAGTACAAATTATTTTTTATTTAGTTTTATATTACATCTTGGTGAATAATAAAAATAAATTGTTTCTATTTGACACATATGATTTTAAGTAATTTATTAAAATAAACTACGTTATTTTTTTTTATTAGCCTAATTCAGAAGCCCAGAAGTAGAAATTAGGAATATGACATAAGTGCGGGTAATCGTATAGGGCATAGAGAATATCGAAAATCGAGAATAAGTTCTACCTTCATGGCATTAGTTATGTTAATATGTTTTTTATATGGATTAACATAACTATGGCATGTTTCATGTGTACTTTTGTAAATGCTTCAAAATACATATTCGAATGCATTGACGACTATCTCTTTTTGAAGAGTTTAGCGTTGTTGCTATACAGACATGGATCTTATGCGCAATCTGCAATTTCTTCATACGTTCAGAAGAATAGTTAAAAAAAAAAACAATTAAAAAGTTGATGCAGGTATGATTGAATTGATTTTATCCACAATATGATGAAATTGAATTCACAAAACAGAAAACAATCTGTTGTAAAATTTTCCACTTTAATGTTCATCATAATAAATTTGTAATGTGTAACAATATAATTGATATTGTTTTCATTATGAATGTTCATTCATAATTAAGACAACTGTTGTACTATTTAACTCTTGTTGACTATTTTTTTATTTGCATTTGATTTATAAATGAATTAATTTTAAATTTAATTATAAATGATTTATTTTTATTTTATATAATTACTATAAGACGTATTGAATTCTATAAAAAATTACATTGTTTAAATTTATATTTTTTAAAAATGATTTAATCATTAAATAAATAAGTTTTATGTATGTTATAGGTGCACTTAACAGAGATGTTAAAACAAAATGTTACATGATAATGGTAATTTAGAGGTATTGGCATCATGTAGAATTCTATGGCAAAAATGACAAGCCATGTTATGACTCTTACTCCTTCTAGAAAGCGATGGTTTATTGTATTATTAATGATCTTATTATTATGTATTATTTTAAATTTTTCTTATACTCCAGATATACATGATGAATCGATACTTCAAAGTAATATTGTTGAAATACAAATGAAACTAGAGCATTTACATTCTAAATATATAACAAGTCAAGAGGAGATACAGTTTCTTACTTATAAATTAGTTAAAATGACAGAGGGTATACATTTGCAACCTGATATTCAAATTTTTATCAATAGCTCTAGTTACAATATTACAAATATAAAGTTACCATCAATATATAATTTTCTACCACATTTACTGAATAATCCAAATAGTTTGCATCCAGCTTTTATTCACAGTAAAGGAAGATCTGGTGTAAGCATTGTCTTAGGAATTCCTACAGTTAAAAGAGAGATTCAGAGCTACTTAATAGCAACATTAAGAAATTTATTGAGTCGTATGAATCCTTTAGAAACTGCTGATACTCTTATCGTAGTTTTCATAGCTGAGGTACAATAACTTTATTATATTTTTTATTACTAATAAATCTTTTTAAAAACTTTATAAGTAGAATATAAAAATATGAATTATGATCATATCCACTATCATATATTACATGTGCACATAATATGTATTATAAAATTATGAGAAAAATTGTATACATATTTAATTATATCAATTTATAAGCACAAATGTTCACAAATTATATAATATACTGATTTAGTAATGTATAATTGTAATTAATAATCATCATTTAAAAATAATTACAATATAATTTAAAAAATTATAGTAATTAATACTAATTATGTTTTATTTTCCAGATTGATATTGAGTATGTAACTTATGTAGCAAAGCAGATAGAATTGCAGTAAGTAAGAGATAATTTATTATATGAATTCAACTTTTTATTATAGTATTAAAATTTTTAATATTGCTAATTATGTACTTAATAATAGTGATTAGTGTTTTTTTTATAACATAAAAAACAAATATATATTTACAAAATTTGTTAAGTAGTTATAAATTATTTATCTGTGAGGTTTATCTGTATGTCTTAATAGTGAATAAAAATAACTATAGAAAATTTTTAAATCTAATTTTTAATATAATTTAATGATGTATAATAATATAGTATTTGATAAGCTTTAAATATTAAGCTATTATAGCTTTAAAATAAGCTTCAAATATTAAAATTAGTACTTCGTATAATTGTAAAAGTTGTTTTGGAAAAGATTTATTATTTAATTATATATCATGTTACAATTATACAATGTTACAACCTTGTTACAATTAATTATTTACAAAATATAATTTTTTTTTACAGATTTCCAGAAGAGTTTGAATGTGGTGTAATTGATATAATATCACCCCATCCATCATATTACCCTGATTTTACAAAATTACAAGACACATTAGGTGATAATCATCAACGTGTAATATGGAGATCAAAACAAAATTTAGACTTTGCTTTTCTTATGTCCTATGCACAGACTAAAGGAATATTCTATGTACAATTAGAAGATGATATATTAGCTAAACAAAATTTTATTGCTACAATGAAATCTTTTGCTTTACAAAAAGTCAGTATGAAAGAAAACTGGCTTGTACTTGATTTTTGTCAACTAGGATTTATTGGTAGGAATTAATATTTTCATATTTGTCTTAGTTTATTCATAATACAGACATGTATTATGAATCTGTATAATACTTTTTGGCAGTAGGATTTATTGGTAGCAATCAATATTTTCATATTTGTCTTAGTTTATTTATAATACATTTCTTTTTACAGGAAAAATGTTTAAATGTGTAGATTTGCCAATATTTGTTCAATTTTTTTTAATGTTTTATAATGATAAACCTGTAGACTGGCTTATGGATCATTTAATATTTACAAAAGTTTGTAGTCTTGATATGGATTTTGTAAGTAAAATTTTATTTAAATATATTTTTTTCAATAATTTTAAAAATTTATATATATATTTATAGAAACGTTGCAGAATGGCTAAAACTGAACTATGGTTACATTATAAACCATCACTGTTCCAACATGTTGGTACCCATTCTTCTTTAAAAGGGAAAATACAAAAACTGAAGGTAATAAATTATACTATTTTAATTTATTTATAATAAATCTATTTTTAATTTAAATATAATTTCTAGGATAAACAATTTGGGAAAATAATATTGCATTATGGCCATAAAAATCCAGAAGCTATTATTGAATCACAAATAAAATCTTACAAGCAATTTACACTTAGTAAAGCTTATAGAGGAGATACATTTTTCTGGGGTCTTTTACCGCAAGTAGGAGATCATCTCAGATTTAAATTTATTCATCCAATTTATTTAAAGAGGTAACAAAAATTTTTCTTAAAAATTTATTTACAAACCTTTTATAATTTATACATCTTTATTTTAATTTATAGATATTTATTTAGAAGTGGAAATGCTGAGCATCCATGTGATAAGTTTTATAATACTACTGTTGAAGTCTTACCAGAATTGGCTAATTCTATCGATAGAAATCGTAATAATGTTTCAGAAGATGGTTACATTATTATAGGTAAACAAAATTATTTTTTAACTTATTTCAAATTTAATAATCAGCCACTTGTTATTTATAATTTTATTATTGATAGGTAAATTTGATCATGCTGGCATTGCTCAGGGAATTGTGGATCAAAAATTAGGAAAGATTTTGGTACTTCGATTGAATGTACACAGTGAAAGTGAAAATTGGGCAATTTTATCTGAAGTAAGTATCTGCATACAATACACATAAATAACCAAAACCAAAAATGTTACAAAAATTTAATGAAGTACAGTTTTGATTTTGAAAATAAAATGATATATTATTAAGATTAATTTAAAAACATTTAATATATAATTAAAATTTATATATCAATTTTTTACCTGATAAATAATAAATTATATATATACTTTTAATAGATTCATATAGAAGAAGATGCAAACAGCTGACAGAAAGTACTATAGATGTGTAAGGAATTCATTTCACATAGTTCATCATTATTTAAGGAATTAAAGTTAAAAATTTTCTAGGATTTTAGTATTAAAATATATAAAACTTTGAATTAAAACATCTATAAAGAATTTATTTATGAAGATTCTAAAATAATAAATTTGATGATGTATATAAAATTTCTCAAAAGAATCATCTTAAATAAAAATAGTATAAGAATTCTTAAATATATATAGTTCATACTTATTATATCTAAAAAATTAAATTTTAAATAATTAATGTATAGAAATAAAAAGTTGATTTCTAATTATTTTCTACATTATATATTGATCAATTTAAAGCAGGACTTTATTATAATTGTAAAATATTTTTAATTTTTTAAATATGAATTTTGGTATTTAAATAAATATTTGCTTTATTTTCCTTTTTACTTGCTCAATCAAATGAATTTTAAGAAATAAAAGTAAACATTCTATATATTACGGTTAACATGCATATACAAATACATAAACCTTTGCTATTTTTATTTATAAAATGCATTGTTATTTCCTAAAATGTTTTTAGTATCAAATGAATATTCATGCTGCCATTTTCTAATTATTTATTATAATAGTATTTATAGATATTATACAATTACCTGAGTATATTTGATTCTAATTTAAAAATTGAATGAAAAAAGAAATAAAATTCTCTTTAAATTTTATTCTTGCTATAGAGAACTTGAAATTTTCTCATTGTTCAAAAAAAATAAAACATTAAACATCAGTTCATTTTATAATCAATTTTTTGTGTTTCAATGTTGATATAAATTATTTAATGATATTTGTATATAAATGTTATGATCAAGAGATTATTATATATTAAAAATTTGTATAATAAAAACCTAAATTTATTAAAATTCAATTTATTATTAGCACCATTTTTCTTTATTTTATTGAAAAGTAATCTTGATATCATAATAGTTTCTTCAATACGACAATGAAAAATATTTATATAATATTAAAGTATTGTAAAATTTTTATATTCGTTGTAAACAGGAATATAAAATGTATTTATATATTATATAAATTGAATCTAAAAGTATACAAAGTATTGTCATCATATATACTAATTAAGTTTTTTTAATCTTGGAATTTGAAACTAGCCCTTTACAATTATTTATATATATTTATACAATATATTTATATCTTAAACCATTATGAGTAGTTCAATCACATTGGTGCAACTTGACTATTAATATATTTTTAATTTTAAAAAGCTTAAAATAATATTTTAAAATACACTGTACTTTTAATTAGATAGCATTCCAAATAAGTAATATTTTTTTAGCAATTTACATTTGCTGAAATTGAAATTCAATTTTAAGAATTTTATATTTTATATAGCTAATTTAAATACCATTTGTACCCAAAATTAGTGTTCAAAGATAAATCTTGTAAAATATTTTTACGTTATAATTAAGATGAATATCCTGTTTAAAACTATGACCAAAAAATCTTATTTTTATGCCATTTCAGTTAATATTCAATGATTATTTTATAAAGGCTTTGATATATTCATTTAATGAATGATAATTTTCACTTGCTTAAATACTATCTTTTATCTATACAAACCTGTTCCGTTAGTGCAAATTAATATAATTAATCAAAAATATATTTAACTTTTTAATAATTGTATTTAATTTCTCGTTACAGTACTGTGGGGGCATCAATAAATCGATGACAGTGCAATTAAAGAGTATGCATTACTGAATATAAATTTGAATTTAAAACTTATTAAATTTCATTGACGTATATACTCTAAAATTCATACAAACACACACACATATATATATATATATATATATATGTATATATATAAAAGTTGGAAAATATATTTCAGGCAACATACTTGAGATTTCGGTTTACAGTCAAATTATGTGCTCATCATAGATAGAAAATAAATTGCATAAATATAGTGTCAATGTATTATATAAACAGTTTAAGAAATATAATTTTAAGAAATTAAATAGTAAACATAAGTCATTTTGATACAATGATGAAAGCTATGTTTAAACTCTAACAAAAATTTAAATTATATAGTATATTCAATAGGTACATTGTTTTTGCTATGTTTATCAGTAGAAATAAATATATAATTTTTTATAATTTCTACTTTAAGTAATATATTAGTGTTTATTTTAACATATTATATTACATGTTGTTAAAGATTCAATTAGACATTTATTATGCATACTTTAAACAATTTTATTATACATGCTCCTTTAGATATTTTACTGAAAATGTATGGTATTTGTTATAGATAAAATTAATAGTTTACACTTGTAGATGAAAATGAACATGCTATAGTTTTGATATATTTGTAGTAATCTCTAAATTAAATATTAAGTAATAAAAATCTGTATTGCAAAACTATCGCATTAACAATTTTTTATAAAATATAATATGTGAAATAATTAAAAATACATTCTATTATGATAAAATATGATAGACAAAACAACAGATAATATATGCTTTATATTAAAAAATTAAGTAATAATTATTTACAATTATTAAAAAAAAAATTAGATATAAATTATTTGCGATGTAAACAAAATTTATGATTTCATAATTAAAATTATTTTCACACAGATATATGATTCAAAATCACAAGTTTCTGTACTAACTTATAATAATAAAGATAGAGAAATTAATGGTAAAATGATGAAGGCTATTTTTTTTTAAAAAAGATAAAATAAAAGACTATATAAGAGAAGACTGTTATATAGATGTTAAATAGAAAATTAATATAAATAAAAATTTTTATTTAAAAACGTCGTTTTAAATTACATAAATATTATTTCTATTATTCATTTAATTGTGCTACATTGTTTGTTTTGAAATATCTAGTTTCACGTTTAATAGTTTACAATGAGTCACCTTTATTTTACGTACTTATACAATTATAAAATTAAAATATATATTAAAAACTCTGTGATTAAAATATATTTAATCACAAATAAAATTAATAATAGCAATATTTAAATACAAAGTATTATTAAGTATGAGTATGTATAAATAATAAATTTATTTTAATTGAAATACAGAAATATAAAAAATATATTTTTTTAACTACCCATTAAAACAAATCTTATTATCTAAATATCTAAATATTTGTTTGAACATTTTGTAGAACTTAATATTAAATCTACATGCTAAAATTTTGATTGCACTTGTGATAATATAGGATGTACTGTATTGTATAACCAATTCCTTTTTCTATATAATTAAATATTTCTATGATACGGTAATAATGAAATTTACTGTAATGTGGCATGATGTAAATACAATGATTGTTATATAGGTTAATACCCAATTTATTAATATTAGCTATACATTTGCATAGTGAGATATTTTATAGGACTACTACTCTATTTTCTCATGCATTTCATCTTAAGAGAGCTAGCTAAATCAGAGGCTAAAAATATTTGAAAATAATCTTTAATGCTGAACATGTCAAAAAAATGATGTTAAAAATAATTGTAGTTTATAAGCTTTTATAATGATAGCTTCTATTTAATTATAATATATGAATAATGCGAGGCAATCAATTCAGAAAAATTATAAATTTCAGTGGTAATTGTTGATTGAACACACTTAAATATTTTACCTTAATAATTTAGTTCTTTCTTATTATTGATTTCTAAAATATAACGTATGCACAAACTTGAATACAATATTATATCGTATCATATTAATCATCTATTCTTTTATTTATTACAAAAAATAATCCTGTGCACTAATATGATCTTTCATTATGCCTGCTAACATACGACAAAAGTGTGTAGCTCAATATAATTTATTATTAATTAAAATGATGAATGAATGCTGGAAACTGGTAAATAATTTCTCTTTTAGAAGTTTAGTAATGTCTGTGGTTAAATAATTTAAATTTGTTGATTTTTAAAAAATTATATACATTTGTATAAGATTTTTATTACGTATTTTCATGAATTATTTGTTATCAACTATGTATTAAAGAAACATCATATTTTGAAGGAATAGAACTTCTGAATTCATCTTTCAATATGCTAGTAATAACTTGTTTGGTTTCAAAATAATGTTTTAAATTCATCATAGTTATTGTAATAGCAAAGAAAGAAAAGGTAAGGGGAAAATAAATATCTCTCAAATACAATTAAATAAATAGAAAATGCAAGTTACTCTAATAATCTATAGGTTAACAAAATATACAGAAATTTTAAATATTTTTTTTTATTATATTTCATATAAATTATTAAATTTATATCATATAAAAGTTATAATATACAAAATTAAAAAAAAATAAAAATTAAATTGTTTAAAAAATATATTTTCTTTTGTATACATTAAATGTCTTAATAATAGTTATGAGATGTTTAACTTAATCAGGATTTAATTTACTTATCTTCTTTTTCAAAGCAGTAACAGGCTTAGCTATTTATTATACAAACATAACCGTTACATTACTGATTGTATATAATTGAAATGTTTACTTTGTTTTCCTATTAATGGCAGTTTGCAATGTGTACGTATGTATATATATATAGATTTATATATATATATATAATTTAATATATGCATAACGCATTCAAACATGTGTATGTTTATTCCTACTTTCATTTTTTTAATTTTTTTTAACTGATACGTGTATTAATATAAAAGAATGAGAGTGCAACTAATCAATTTTTTTAAGGAATTTGAAGACAAATTAAAAAAAAATAAAGATGGAGCAAAAAACTAGCGAATAAGATGCTGAACTTTTATAGGTTCTCTTTAAAGGTTTATTTTTATTAAAAATTTCGAACAGAAGTAATTATAGTATATCTATAAACGATGCCAAAAATAAAACTTAGCCTCGTTTCATTTGTAATTATTTTTCTAATAATAATTTTGAGTGTTCATTTTTTTTCTATGTTACAGTGTTCTACTAAAAACAAAAAACTCGTAAATAAACCAAAATTTCATTTGATCATATTAGTATTAAGTGGCCCAGAAAATGTTGAACGAAGAAATAGTATTCGTGAAACTTGGTTATCACAAAAACAAACTGAAGTAAAAAATTTGTTTCCAATTGGGTTAATAAAGCTTAGGCTAGAGCAAAAACAAGCCATAGAATCAGAGAATGAAAAATTTAAAGATTTATTATTACTACCAGAGCTACTTGATTCATATGGAACTGTAACTAAGAAAATTTTACAGTCATTTGTACATGTATATGAGAATTATGATTTTAATTATTTATTAAAAGGGGATGATGACAGTTTTATACTAGTTGATAAAATTTTAAATGACTTGGATAAATGGCAAAAAAAAGGTTCCAAAAAAGAACTGTATTGGGGTTATTTTAATGGAAGAGCTAGAGTAAAGAAGAGTGGGCCTTGGAAAGAAGTAGATTGGTTTCTTTGTGATTATTATTTGCCTTATGCTTTAGGAGGTGGATATGTTTTATCCTACAATTTAGTGAAATTCATTGTCAAAAATGTTGATGTTTTAAAGTAATTATTTACTTATATGTATTTAAAATTATTTGAATCTAAAACTTTTAATTCATTAATTTTTAATTATGATATATTTTTAAACATTAAATTTAACAATTTAAGTGATAAGTATTGTTTTAATAATTATAAAAATTTGTTTTATTTCAAAATATTTAAAAACAAATTATTTTTAAAATATAATATTAATTTAAAAAATTCTAAGATTACAGAATTCAGAAGACGTCTCAGTTGGATTATGGCTATCACCAATAGCAAATATTGATAGAAGACATGACATTCGTTTTGATACTGAATATAGCTCTCGTGGATGTTCAAATCAATATCTAATAACTCATAAGCAAAGTATTGAAGATATGAAGGTAATTCATGAATTTTACACAAGAACTGGAAATTTATGTGTACAAGAAATTACCAATATCTTAGGATATCAATACAATTGGACTGTCTTACCTAGTCAATGTTGCAATAGACAATTAGGGATTCCTTAAATTTGTTTCAGTTTTTTCAAAATCTGAATAATTAAATTTATATGACAGTATTACGAAACTTTTAAGCTATGAAATATTTGTTTTTGTCATTATACTTAAGTTTAAAAAATAAGTAAAATGAAAATGATTATAATTTTAAACATTGTTCTTATATTATGTTCAAAATATGTTTAATTTATATACTTATATATAATATTTAATATTACAGAATTGAAATAAAATAATAATTAAGTTTATTAATCTAAATCTTGTTAAAAATCCTTACCTATGTATATTCTAAATATTTTGTAAATAAGTTAACTACATATAATATATATTATTTACCCAAGTCATTTAAAATCTAATGAATTATATAAAATATAACACATGTATATACTAATATTAAACAAAATAGAAGATTTTCCAAAATATTCTACATTGTATTCTTTTTTATTTCTTTGTTAAATCACTTTATTTTAAAATCAAATGTCTTACAAAATATGTATGGTACACAAGCACATTATTTAAAAAAAAAAATCACTATTACATTGTATTGTTTTAAATTATTTATTTTAAAAGTACTAGTCTTATTTTGTTTTTTAATTGTTTAATTTCTAAAATGAATACTGTAAATACATTCAGATTTCAAATGATTACTGTTTTAATTTTAAATTATATTTTGCCTATATACATTAATGTAGAAATTAATTTTATTAAATTATATACATGAATTATAATTTAATTGGATGATTCAATTTGAAAAAAATTTATATTTTAATATCAAATTAGCTATAAAATTACATAACAGACATCAAAAACTTTAAATTATATAAATAAACAAAATATTTCTTTTCAATAAAGATTATTTAAATAAACAAATTTACCTATTTCATTATAATAAGATTAATGGCTGGTTTTACTATTGCAATATATTATATAACAATATATTGTTGTTCAATGGATATAAAATTTTAATCACTATAAGTTTATTATAAAGTGTAAAAATTCTTTAGGTCAAGTAAAATTTTTGTTATAAATTACCACATTGTTTTATTTTACTTTTTTTTTCGATCTTGAGTACATTTTGGACAAAACCATTTCCCTTTTGGTTTTGTTGTAAGCCCAACACATGCAAAATGAAACCATTCGATACCACACTGAAAAAATATTTGATTTTAATAACAGATAAATAATGTTTTATTTAATAAATATTATAAAATAGTAAACTTACATCAGGGTTGTCACAACCAATCATTTCTCCATATGATACTTGATTGCATACACAGTAAGTAGGTTCATTCGGATCTACAGGCATATCTAAAACATCAGCTGGATGACTGAGTGTGCTTGAATCTCCCTGAGATCCACTACTAGTTGTACCAGCTACAACTGTTGATGTTACAGAGCCACCTTTTTTTTGTTTCTTTCTAGTGCTTTTTGTTTCATCTTCACTACTTGCAGTACCTAATTAAAAACAAATAAGTTAAATTTGAATTAATTTTAAATACAATACTTAAAATATAATATAATTGAATGATCAATATAAAGTGTTTATATTTAAAAAATATTAAATTATTTATTTACCTTTTTTACGTTTTTCTTTTTCTTTAAGTTTTTTTCTTCCTTTTTTACTGGATACACTTTCTTCTTGTGTCCTATTACTACTCAATGCTTTATCTTGGATTTCTGCTTCAAATCTCATTAGGTCAGAATCTAATCGTCGTATATGTTTATCAACAAGTTCATAAGTTTGTATTGCTAATTGTACTTTATCATCACCATATTCTTTTGCTTTATTAAATAAATTTTGTATACGAGTTAATTGTTCATTTTTCTTATCTGACGACTCTTTTTTCATATTTTTTAAATAATCATCAGCTAATTTATCAATATCTTTCATTAAAACTTGAGCTCTAGCATCAAGATCTCTCATTAAATTAAAATTCCTTCTTAATTCAGTAGGAAGATGCTCTAAACCTTAAAAGTATTAAAATATAATATTAACAATTTAATTAAAAATATATCAATTAATAATACTTATACAAGGAACATACAATATTTATCATAAAACTTTATCATATTTATAATTATAATAGTTGAAACTACCAAAATCTATTAAATATTGAAAAAAAGTAATAATTTTAGATCAAAATAAATTATATTTGTACACCTTTTCTTATATGCATATATAATAGAAATTTTATATATAATTTAAAAGTAATAGAACTATATTTTTTATATTTTTTATTTGTACCATTTTTTAAATTTATTTTACACTATTGCATAATACTAATTATTTTTCATATGCGAATAGCAATAATTGAATTACCAATGCTTTAATAATACAAAAATTAAGCATAGAAAAATTATGAAAGTCTTAAAGCAATTTAAATGAATAGATGATTGAGATGCCTATAGCTTTTAATGAATTAAATATTCCATTTTTATATAACAAAATATATAGGTATACGACACAGGTGCGCATATGTACCTATATAATGTACGTTTGTGTGTATCATAAATATACTTTCTCATTGAACTACATATATGGAACTTCACCAATATTAAATACTGTTTGCATTTAAGTAAAAATGATATTACAATTAAAATTTTTTATATTGTTACTTTAATCAAACTTACTATCCAAGTAATGTTCTAAATAAAAAGCAGTCGTCATTTTCAAATTCAATTTTTGTTTTGAATTAAAAATATTTATCAACTTTTGTAAAAAAATCGATACATTTAGATTATTAATAAATACGTGTTACAAAAACAAAAAAAATCTGATCAATTTGCACTACACAATATCGATTATTATTAACTACTTCTACTTGTGTAGACAAATATCAAAACACCAAGCTCATTCGTATTCATAATTCAATTTTATCTGTTGCACGTTCCCAAATGCATGATTCTGTTATTTTTAACGCGCCAAATTTCAAATATAGTAAGTTCTTGTTAACTATTAAAATATAATTAATTTAACAAATATAATTATATTAAATATTTATTGTATAAAATATATAAATAATATTAATTATAATATAAAAAGTAAAAATATCTAAATATTTTATTACAATTAAATTGTAAATTGTAAGACATACGTTGAAATTATTTTAATAATAAAGTTGAATGAAAAAAAAAATAAGAAAGTATATCGAATTATAGCAAAAAGTAAAATGATTGAAATGAGAAGTATTGATTTAAAATAAATAAAATGATAAACGAAGAAATTAAAAAAATTTATTTTTCATTTAATAACTTATGGAAAAAGCTGAAATTTTTATAGATTGTATGTTTTTTAATTTGGAGAATATTGGAAAATATATTACTTATTAAAAAACATTTTTTTTTTTTGAGATTTAATACACTATGTTTACATTGTTTATATTAAAACCTACGCATATTAAAGAAAAATAACATTCCAAAATCCGATTAAAGTCCAGTTAGATTTGATACGAGTTAAAAGGAATATTATTTAATGCAAGGTAATTTAAAACGTTTTTAATTAAAATTTATACAGTGACTAAATATTTTATTTTTACGGTGAGCTTTCTCTCGTATGAAGGATTAAACACTAAATATAGTACAGTTCATTGTAATTATACTGTAATTTATATTCCCACAGATTAGATTCTATTACGCTTAGAGTATAAATTATCGAAAAATAATAAATTCCTTAAAGAATAAAAAGTTTTTAATTTATAAATTCATTCTTAAGACAGTAGTTAAAGTGATCATATATATTCATAAAGACAATAGTTAAAGTGATTATAATATCTTGAAGTTAAACTGTGTTAAAATTCATATGAACTTATATTTTCGTTTATTTTACAATAGTAATTTAAAAAAATATATAATAATCTATTGATATAATTTAGAAATGTCATGAATCCACTAATAAAATAAAATAATTTATTAATAAGAAATATACTACTCGTATTGATAAATTTGCATCCTTTTTATTTAAAAATTGTTTTAAATCCAATAAATAGTTTTGAATAGATCGCTTACAATGATCCATGTGATATACGTTTTTATCTTAATAAAAGCATGTTTTTGGTAGGATTGTGTATTTAACTTCATTATCTTCATTAATCAACTAATCTAATATACATTTGTATACTTCAAATATTTAATTTCCTCTTTCTATATATTATTTGTAATATACCAATAAAAATCTTATATGATTTTGTAGTTATTTAACGTAAGTTAAGCAATTCAATATTATTTAAAAAAATGTTGATTTTAAAACCTTTATTTTAATAAATATCGCATTAAGGTATGAAGAAAAAAATGCCCTTCGTTAAAATACCGATGTAAGAAGAAAATAATTCAAATTATTGAAATTTTCTTAATTGATATTCAATTAAAATAGCATTGTATTCTCTTGCCTACGGCCTTAAAGACCTTAAAATAATGCTTATTTAAACAACTATACAAATGGCATTTTCGGAGTCTTCTATAGAAGAATTAATAATTTGGACGACAGCGTATCATTATTATATAGATAACAATTATTATAGATGAGTTTATCATAATCTAAATAAAATATAGATACTGAAGTTTCATCAATTATAATGTTAATTAAATTATTTAACTTTTATTTTAACTTTGGAAAATCTTTCTATGGTACTAAAGAAAATGTAATATCATCTTGGAAAACAAGAAATCATTATTACATGCAGATTTTGGTTTTTTAGATCAATATTTTTTTACCTATTATATCAATTTATGGATATATTAATATATAAATTAATAAATTTATGGATATATTAATGTATAAATTAATAAATTTATGGATATATTAATGTATAAATTAATAAATTTATGGATATATTAATGTATAAATTAATAAATTGATGTATATATTAATAATATAAAGTATTAATTTTTAGTATTCAATAAGATTCTATTTTACTGCATGCATAATATTAAATACTGCATTTAAAAAAGTAGTAGAGTAAAATACTTTAACAGCTTTTTTCACTCTGAGTTCGCAGTGATAATCAAATACATAATATAGATAGTAAAACCATCAGTTGGTGACTTACTTTTGAAAAATTAAAGAAATTTCTATTATTGCATTATACTGAATAAAGAAAAAAGCGTTCCCAATATTTCAAATAAACATATTTAATAGAAAAAGATAAGAAATTTGTAGTTCACATTTTATTTCGAAATAAATTAGCTTATTAATAACAATATTATTTACAAATATTCTAAACTGTTTAATAATAAATATAGGAGAAAAAACATTATGCTAGCCAATAACAATGTTTACCTATTTCGTGCAGGAAATAAAAAAATTTCATAACAAAATTAATAAAACCAATAAAAATAAAAAATATTTAATATTTATTTAACATTGGAAAATTCTTTTATTACTGTATATCTAAAAAATAAACATAAGTTAAATATTAACTAAGTTGAAAAGAATAATGTATAAATAATTATATACTGTAAGTGGCAACCTGAAATAATATAAATAATAATTATTCATACAATGAAAAATAATAATAGTACATTCTATCGTAATATTAACTAAATAATTTTCAATACTATTTATTTGATTGTATAAATGTATTATATATTGTATTACATGAATTGTAATAAATTGTACAAATGATATATTATTTTACTAGGTTGTGTATTAACTTGAATTATTACTGTGATAAAGAATCGATAAAAAAGCAGAGAACATAAAAAGAATCAATTAAAATAAAAAAAATATTAAAATAAAATGAAATATTTCAATTGCACCGCGTAAAATAAAGATCTTCTTCGCGTCCTCTTTAGGAAGTAAATTGATGTCTAATGAACCATTGGAGCGTGATTGGTATAGAACTGCCACTAAATTGCATGTTGGAAAATAAAGTATTCACTCTTTATTAAATTAGTAACTGTATGCTAGTGTTTTATTATATATAAAAGATTAATAGCGATGTTTGTCAGTACGATTAATAGTAGCATTTTGTTTGTATTGTATAATAAGATTTTGAAAATCAGCTGATATTCGAGAATATTAATGCGGGCTTTGAAAACATGCTAAATATTTTGTGAAGTTCTGCGCATTCTTGTATGAAGATATTAGTATCAATTTTCTTTCTCTTTTGGAGGAACTTCTCAAGTAAAAAAATAATATATATATACATATTTTTAAAACGACTAATTACTTTAAGTAAGGAAGGTGTGGATGATATTAAAAATATTTTTCAAGAGTAAACATATGAATATTTAATTTTCATTGTTTGAGTCGTATTAATTTTTATATTTTAATATGGTATAAAAAATAGAAGTATATATATATATATATATATATATATATATATATATATATGGATATTTTACTGGAATCTGTTTTCTGGAATTCTGGAATGTGTTTTAAAAATTATTATAGGATTATTTTTTTAAGGTTATTAAATATTTAAAACACTCCTTTTCTCTATTAAATATTTGTAATTTATTGATAAAGCTAAAATAATATTTGTTTTCTTGCCTTTTACTATTTTGAATATACAATGAATAATAACATGTTATTATTAATCCAAAAACTAATAACATTAATATGTTATTATTAATCCAAAAACTTCTTTTCTAGAATAGTTTGGTAAAGCTATAGTATCCTAAAGTTGTTTACTAACATTCAGTATTACTTGTGATATTTGAAATAATGTGGAAGTTTTATGATTATTCTTACAGTTATAATAATAAATGTTAATAATTTTATAAATTTGTTTTCTTGCATGAATGTGGCAAAAATATAAATATGTAATATTACAATATTAAAGAATAGAATATTTACAAATAATTAGGAATTTAAATAATTATATTTAAGTTAAATTTATAGTAAATATATTATCAAGATAAATTAATTTAATAAAGATATTAAAATTAATTGAAATAGTATATATATTTGTTTATTATATATATATATATATATTTTTTAAATAATATTGATTTAAATTTACACGATAGTAATATTTACTGAATTTTTAATTTTTTTATTTATTTATATTCATAAAGAATATGCTAAAGCTTTTTCTACACTAATTTTATTGTTTTATCTGAATCTTGACAGTATAATTTAATTTTAAAATTAATAATACTAGTAATTGAATATTGAATATTAGTTACTTCCATCATTTTATTATTTTTATGAAAGATATTAAATATATTTAGGAATATATCAAGATATTATCAAAGTTAATAGTTTTAAAATTAATTTATGGATTCTAATTAATCTTTTTAATGAATGAATCAACAGGTATTCTGGAAGTTAACTTTTATATAAATAATTAGAAATTGGTATGAAATGGAAGAAGAACTTAGTGATCCACATGAGCAGCAACTTTTTGCCGTCTTTAAGAGCTGTCTAGGAGATGGGCAAAATGAATTAGATAAAAAAGGCCTATTAATACTTTGCAGCAAACTTGAACTAGAAGAAAATCATAGAGATGCAATATTTGAGTTACTTGATATAAATGTGTTTCAGAGAACAATTACATTTTATGAATTTAGAAACAGTTTTCTTGCATTATTAGGTAAGTCACAAGAGGTACCAACAAATAGGCCAGAAAAAGAAGTTCATACTGAATCAGAAACATATAATAACAACACAATGTGTACATTATATAGTCATCAATCAATAGAAAAGAAACAAGTAGAGGCCATGAAACGTCAACAACTTCAAATAGGTATATATTGTGAATCTATATTATTTACTTTAAAATTGTTATTATTCAAGATCTATGTCTTCACAGTAATTTTAATCAAGCGATTAAAATATCTATATAGCTGTTTAAAATAAAAGTAATTTTAAATCAAAACCTTCTATATATTGTAAAAATTATTATGCACTTTAACAAATTTTATATATTATATTTTAGTTTTGTTATGTATATAAAATATTCAATAAATTCACTTTGAAATTTTAACATAATTTTTTAGAAACTTAATAGATTAATAATGTTAACATTTGAAATTATGTTTTCAAATATATAATTTTCTTTTTTATATTATTTTTTAACTAAACTGCTAAATATTTTCCTCAATTAATAATCATTACAAAAATTCTATTTAATGTATGCTTTTAATTTAGACAAAAATTGTAGTCAACAAAGACAAGAAACATGGAGTAATCAGAATTCTCTGATATTAGAAGAAATAAATAGTTTTTGTAATAGGGGATTTGTTCTTCCTAAGCAAGTAAGTTAATATTTTGTATAAAAAATTAAAATCATTTTTTTATTATTTTAATACTCAGAAATATTTGCATATAAAATAATTATTTAAGAAACATTAATTACTAATTTTAAAATGAAAAATATAATATTTTTATTAGCAATTTATTTAATATCAATATTGTATAAAATTTAATAATAATTAGAATTATTTGTAATTTAATAAAATTTAGTTTTTATGCAAATAACTTTATATTTATCTAAATAATCATTAAAAAATTTATATCTTTATCTGATTTTAGACAATTGAACTTATTTTTAAAAAACTTGATATAGATTGTGATGGTTTAATTAATCTTGAAGAATTTTTACATTTTTTTCAAAGTACCAATAATACATTATTGGAACAAACAAATGTAAATTGGTCTACTTATTTACATGGAGATCACGTTAAGTCAGATTGTTGTAAACAATTTGTTTATGATCATTCTGGGTAAAAATATTTGTGATATATTAATTATTATTATTGTTAAGTTAAAAATATAATAGAATTACTTTTATTTATAAATTAATTGTAAAAATAAATTTTATTTAAAATAGATACATGTTAAGAAGTGTCATAGTTGACTTATGGGAAGTAACTGGAGTGTCTGAAGCTAATTCGCTTTTGCTTGACTTAGGATTTGATGCCCCAACAATTAATCTTATTGACTTATTAAATGCTTTATCATCAGAGCTAAAACTATATCATAATGAATCTCATACAGAAAGTGTAGAAGAATATGTACGTTTATTAAAAGGAACTTTAACGGTTTATCAAGAGGAAGTTAAAAACTTAAAGTAATTCACAATATTTATTTTACAAAAAATTATACTATATACAATATATAAATTTTTTTTAATGAAAATGAAATATTTTAGAAAAATAGCAATTCAATCTATATATATAAAGATTAGATCTTTATAATTTGCTTATTAAGAATAATTTACCATATAATTTCAATGCCAAAAACTATTTTTAGCTTTCTAATATTATCATATAATACTAAATAAAAAGTAAATATTTAATAATTGAAGAAATATATTTAACATTAAATTATATCAGTAGAATAAGGTTTATTTTAAGAAATGATTGGATATTTAACCTGTATGTATGCTTTAAAGTTATAATATAATTAAAATAGCAAGAATTATTAATAGTATTTATATTTATATTTTATATAAATACTAATTATATTGTCTTGAGGTGTAAATACTTATGTTTTTTTTTAAACATAGAGTTTAAAAATTATTTGATAATTTTTTTTAGAAATTAATTTTAAAATATTACAATAATAGATATTTATATATTTATTTCGACTTAGTATGATCTTATTTATAATTTCAATAAATTTTAGTTTTTAATTTATGTATTTATATATATCCAAATATATATAATAAAAAAATTAGATCCTTATAATTATGTATTATTATATGCATTATTTTTTATAAATTCATAATTTATTGTTTTGTAAAAAAGAATTTTCAAAGGTTATATTTTATTAATTATTTATATTCATATACAGAAGAGAAAGGGATTGTGTCCACATATGTATGTGAATACTTACATACATAGTGCAATAGAATTAAAAACACAATATATATAGTCAAATATAATCAAATGAGATATATTTGTTTTACAAAATAATTATATAATACAAATATTAATTAATTTATGATTAAGAAAGAAAATTAACCGATAATCTCTTATAAGAAGTATACCGTTGTATTTATAAATTTCAAAATTAACTCTCCTTTTTTTCTCTAAAGCTGTTGAATCTGTTTTTTTTTTTAAGAGGTCATATTATTATTATTATTAGTTTTGTTACTTTTTGTGTTTCTGATACGTAGCAGACTTTTTATTTTTATCTGTATCTGACTACCAAATTTTATTTTTTTAAGTTATTTTAATACTGACTACTTGTCTGACCGATATAAATGTGACTTCTTACTAGCTTGTCGATCAAGTAGTTTTGTGTGGGAAGTATAATCATTCTTAGCAGAAAAAGTTAAGACCGCGTGTGAAACTACTGTACTTACGTTAATTCGACTTCTATCGTACAATTGTATAGTTGACTTTTAATGTATATATATATAGAATAATGTTTATTGTACAATTAATATACTGAGGATGTACTTTGCAATAATAAATATAGTTTCTCATGTTCAGTCATAAAACTGACAATAGAAATATTTATATTTTTTAATGTACATTTTTTATTTGTTACATCATAGAAATATATCAAACTCAAATATTAACAGTTATTTGTTATTATTTGGAGCTATTTGTAATTACTTATTGCTTTCAATATCATTGTTATTTAAGATAATTCGCGTCTGTAGCTATTTATAAATACTTGTTAGTATTTTATATTATATTTCTTCGCGATTACTCGGGTTAACATTAAAACTTAATTCTTTTCAATATTCTCTTAAATTTCAAAGTATTTTTAAAATTTTAATGCTTATTCATTTTTCTCTTTTTATACTTTTGTTATTTCTAATTTTATTTACTCACTTTGTCGTATAGCATACAAAAAAGAAGAAGAGAGGGTATAGGGGCAGACTCGTAAAAATTGAAAATTCGACGTGCCTAGTTAAGTGGCCCATTATTAAGCATAGCCCCTTTTTGTAGATAAAGTAATTTACGGGTAAGTTAAATGAACTCATATAATTGAAATTCAACTCGCATACTAACAAATATTTGACATTATTATGATAAAAGGTAAAGAAGAACACTAGATTGACTAAGAAAAACAATTTACAAAATTCTTTTCATTGCTGTTAAGCCAGTCGAAAACTTGAACTGCATTTCTACAATGTTAAGTTATTCTCAACATAATATTATTGTTATTTTCAAAAATCTATTACATATACATTATTTTGTGGACAAATGTGTGCATGGTAGAAAGATAAAAACATTTCTGGCACTGAAATATATATGGTGTTAGGTAAAGTTTTCAATCATTATTAGTATTGAATATTATAAATTTCATTAAAAATTGGACATTTTAATACTTATAGGAATTTATTGAAATGTCTGAATAAATTTTTAATGTAATTGTTTATAATTTTATTACAGCCATATAAATATTTTTTAAATTGTGTATAGAATTATTAATTGCACAATTTTTTGTTTGGATCAGTGTTTCAATGTTAAATTCAGGTTCACAATTATTAATTCTTGAATTTATCGATTAAATTTATCTATTAAAATGTTAAAAACATATTTTTCAATTTACATAGTCTTATTTTTTTTTTACTACATTGTTCAGAAAAGAATATATTATTCATGAATTGACTATTTATTGTTATTATTTTTTTGGAAGAGGGAAATATCGAAACACAAAACAAATCAAATAAATATGTTTATATGTTATTTCGTATGTTACAATAAGTTTTATTAATTAAATAATACATAAATAAATTTGATATGTCATTATGAATCAAATGAATTTAATTTGATTTTTTCATTAACAATGGGTTTACTTTAAATATGTTTAAGATATTAATTAATTAAATGCATAAATAGGTTTGAAATTATTTAATTAATATAATCAACTTTTTCTAATTCAACTATTTAATTGACACAACATTATTTTCAAATTTTCATAATTAAAAATCAATAGGAACGTTCTTTGTTTTAACAAATTTATTTGTTAGTATTTCCGTGGAGCATCTATACTGTGAACGTAACAAGTTGCGCGCAGACATCAATGAAGCGAATGAAAGAGCAAATCTTTTTGCCCAAGAAATCGACGAACATCAAATACGCATGGATAAATCTCGCCAGGAACAACTCCGACAGTTAGATATTAAACATACTGAAGCACTTAAAGAACTAACAAAACAACTGCACCTCGAACGTGAACGCAGTTCGAGCGGTTTAAGATTATTAGAAGAGCAATTGCTTTCATCTCAATTTGAAGAGCAAAGAATCAGAGATGAACTGACGACGGTATTACAGGATCTTAGATTACTAGAAACTGAAAATCAGAATCAAAATGAAGAGATTAAGAAGCTTGAAGCTTGTAATGGTCAACTTTCATTGCAGATTCGACAATTGGCAGTTGCACAAGATCAGGTTAGATTGAATTATAAAAGTGTTTTTATTATTAAATAATATTTCTTGTCTTTTAAATATTATTTTAACAATTAACAAAACAAAGTAAAAATGAAATATGAAAATGAATATTCGATTTGGATTTATTAAAATTCATTTTTTGATCTTTTGTTAATAAAAAAATTAAAACATGTTTCTTCTTTTTGTATTTTAAGAAGAAAATTTAAATACAATTGTATACGTTTTTCGTTCGTTGATTCGTTGAAATTTCATCCTGGTTGAACATTATGTGTCATAATGAAATGCTGAAAATTGATAAGCCCTCTTTAAATAACACACTTATTTATATTAATTTCAAATTTTGAAATACAATTTATATTTTAACATTTAAAAAAAGGAAATTTTTACAAAAGTTTAAATTAAATAAAAATACATATAAAAGTAGCAAAATTATAAGATTCTATAATTATTTTTTAATAGTTTATATTACATTTAATTATATATGTTTCGTATTATAAAAAATATTGATTAAATGAAGCGAATTTAATAAACATTCTGTAAATATTAATATTAATTTTTTTTAAATTTTTTTCGTAACAAAACGATTGCGTTTTTAAGTCTAATTTTTTTAGTAGCACGTTATGATTATTATTTATATCTCGTTATTTAATTATTTATTTTTAATATATAAAATTTTTTTAATATTTAATAATTAAAATGTAATTGGTCGAAATGGTAATTTAAAAAAAATATATTAAACAAAAATTGTATTTATATATACTAAAACAATTATTGTTATAATGAATATTAACATATATATAGGTCCATTAATATGAATATGTGTGTATTTAAAGCAATATCTATTAATCGACCTTTTACAGTGCATATTTGATTCAATTTATTTAAAATATTATAATATATTATTTTCTTTAATACATTAAAACTGAGTAATAAATTTGTGCAAGTATATGAATTTATAAATATATGAATATCATAATTTTCATAGTTTTATATAAGCACACGCCCGCGTGCGCGCACATGCGCGCACACACTCATATATATATATTTTCAATTTTCATTAGCATTAAATAAAATTAAGTAAATAAATATTTTAAAAATTGTTATCTTTTTAAAATAATATGAAAAACAAAGCATTAATAATATATTAAGAAAATTTAAAACAAAATTTAATTTATTTAGACATATACATATATAAAATTATAATATTGGAGAAATGAAAAATTTAACGAATTAATTATAAGAAATCATAAAATATAAAATTGTAAATAAAATTACCAAATACGGTTTGTGCAATGTAGTAATTATGTATTTTTCTAGATAAGAAAGAAGATAATGCATTCGGAAATCTGAGAATTACATTAGATTTTATTATTAAAAATATTAACAATGTTACGATTTCATATTATTATTATTATATAATAATTTCACCTTATTACAAATTATAGTACAATTTATCACATGTAGTTAATATATTGAAGTATAAATATTTTCTCTTCATTATAGGCTTGGTAGATTTTAAAGCTACGTAGTTATAGTAGGTTTGAGACAAGGAAATGTCAGGCTATCGTAAATTATCCACCGTTAATGTATACATAAATATCAATGTTGCTGCATAACTTTTAAAAATTTAATTTTAATTCAGAGTTCAATATCTAATGTCAAAATATAATATGCAATATCAAATATTTTTGTCTGTTTGATTTTTCTAAACATGTCTTCATACCGATTATAAATACTTATAAATATTTTTTGTTCCTTAAATATCTTTATTAAAATTTTGAATTATTAAATTAAAATAATTGAAATTAATGATTACATTTATATATGCAAAACAATATAGTACAAAATATATCATAATACTTACATTATTGATATACTATAACACATTTTTGCCAATATAATTTTCGTATAACTCCTATTATATATATATATGCATTTTATCGAACATTTTATCGAATATTTTGGTATTGGAAATAAAACATATATTAATGTTTAAATTATGATTTCCTGATTTTTACTTATTGATTTATATTCAATTCTACATAGTTTATGAGAAAGCCAGTTTTAATTTCCTCATTGTTATATTTTTTAATTTTTAAAAATAACACTATATTATAAAATATAATAAACCTTCTTATTTAAGAAACACCAAGTTTGATTTCTTATAAAAATTTTCAAGTAAAATACATTTCGATACTTATAAGTATTTTAAAGTAATAGAGTTAATAAATATGTTCCGTTTACTAATTTTCTATAAAGTATTAAGGGAGAATATTATTAAAAAAAGTTGAATCCTGCTTCCACAAGAATAAAAAAAAATCCACATAATACTCATGAAATTTTCCGTTTGAAAAGATTTATAAGTTTGACTTACGAAGCTCAATAGATTAATGTAGTAATTGTAAATTGGCATTTTATTGAATTTTATCTACTTTAAAAATTAGTCGATTTACCAAAGTATATATAATTTAGGTATCATTTAGGCATTATAACTAAACCAAGGATTTCCAATGCATTTATCGTCTTTAATTTTTTTTATATGAAATACTCATTTAATTTATTTTCTGAGTATTTCAAAGTTAAGTAGATTCGTAGTATAGTGAGATATTTAATTGAAAATATTGTTTATAGTTCGATGTATTTTGAATTTATTTGTTTTTTTTATTTTTTATAATTTATATTTATATTATTTAATTGTATTTGTATAAACTTAGTTTAAAATTTTATTTTTTTTTATTTAAAACTTTAGTTTAAAATTAAAATTGTATGCATTATTAAAAACTTAAATATTTTTCTATAAATATGTTAAAAACTTGTAAATAAATAATTAGATTGGATTTTTTCCATATTTTACTAATTGAATACATCCTTCGTTCACTTCATTTTGTATATATTATAGTTTAAGGTATTATTATTTAAGAGTGATTATGATACTAATATAATGTAAGTATGTGATTTCAATTAATAGACATGTATTTTTTTATTACATAGGTAGAAAGCATTGAAACAAGAGAAAATGAACAACTTTCTAAATTAATGTCTGATATTAAGCATCTCCAAACGGAGACAAAAATCTTAAGAGACCATAATGATGAGCTTACAATTGAATTAGAAATATTAAAACATCACGATGATATGAAAAGTATTGTGTCCAGTGTAGAAATAAGATCTACAATATCAGATGAAAATTATGGTATTATTTTATACTTCTTTATATCTCAATTGAAGTTATGTATTAAAATATTTGAAAAGCACTAACTATTTCCATAATGACTTGAAATGACTTTCAAATATTTGGAATAAGCAATATACAAAATTAAATTTAAATTAATATCAATTAAATTATTAATTATTAAAGTAATTGCGTATATTATGAATCCTGCTTTTAAAATACTTAAATTAAAATGGAATTATTTTTTACTCAAATTAAATATTAACAATGTTTTATATAAAATAAAGTACTACAAATTATCTAAAAAAAATCGGTCTATTTAAAAAAATTTATTTAATTAATAACAGGTTTAATTAGTATTCCAACAACAGAAATAAGTGATACAGAAGATGAAGACAAGCAACAACAATATCAGTATTCGGATAATTCTAAAACAAATAAAGTAACAAATGTGGTTAAATATAAAGTTGTTGAATATGAGAGTAGTAATAGTAATAGTATTAATAAATTAACGGAAATTATTCAAGAATTTAGAAATTTTCTTACTAGCGCAAAATTCTGTACGGAGTGTTCTGTACTTCGAAACGAAGTATCCTCTTTGATTAGTGAATTAGAATTTTATCAATCTAATGTATTGGAAATAACAGCAACACCAAAATTTACAAAAAAAAAAAAACATTTAAAAAATCTAGCAAATGAACTAGGTAACACAATAATTTTTATTTAATTAGTATATTTCAACGACTACTTAATATTAATACTTTTTGAAAATACAAGTTAATTTGACATATTAATTAATAATATTAATAAATATATTTTTTTTAATTTTGAGTGTTTTAAATTTGACATAATTTATAAAATAATTGAAATTAAATTTATGATTTAAATTAAGAAATATATTCATTTTGATTGGTATAAAGACTAAATTAAATCTCATTTTATATTTATAATATTTATATATCACATTTTCGTATATTATTCACACTAAATATGCTAAATTTAGCTTCCATCTATAATTAAATATCTTTTATTAAAATAAAAGATAAGTTTCATAATTATGATATATTTATTAATTGTAATTTATATAATTTCATTTTTTTAATTTATAAATAGTAACTCATTGTTTAATTTAATTAGAAGCAGAAGTTAAAAACAATCAACACTTAAGTGAATCATGTCGAGACTTAATTATCACTAGAAATGAAAAACTCAAGCATTATAAAAGAATCTCTAACAGTGATGATACAACGCATAATGTACCGGATGGTAATCTCGATAATATGGAGATGAAATGTATCATCAAAAATAAATTGTCTGGGTTGAGAGATTATCCACCACGAAAAGAATTGGAAAGAGATAAAAGCATTTGTAAAGCAAGTGTTATTAATAATTTGGATATAAGAAAGCATAATATTGAAGCTACTGAGTTACTGAGAGAAGAAGAATCAAAGCATATAACTGAAAAAAAACAGTTAGTTGACAGGTACGAATAAAATAAAAATTTTTGAAAATTGCATAAAATTTAGGAAGTTTAAATATAGTATTTAATTAATTAGAATAAAACAAAATATTATATATATTTTTATAATGGTTTATTTAAAATAGAAATAAAACATTTACGATCAAAAGTTTAAAATGCTTATAATTTATAACACTAATGACACATTAATAATGAAAATTTATATTTAGTGTATTATTATAATAAAAAAGAAATAGATAACTAAGCAAAGAATAGATTCCTTGCAATAAAACATTTATTCTTTTTAATATGCTTAATAATACACATTTATATATATTATTGTCAATTCTGTATTTAATCTGATAGTTTATTTATCAATAAATATAAGAGTAACTTGGGTAAATTATATTCTATTAATATATTGAATAAATGTCTATTAAGATGTAATATTAAAAAAAAAACTTTTTTAATCATTCGGTAAATATAATTTAGTTATAAATGCTTCAATATTTAATAAAGAAAATAATAATGAATCAGGTGTAGTGAATTAGAAAAAAGTTTAGAGATGTTGAAAGCTGAGTACGAGCAATGCGAAGATTACTGGGCGGCGAAGCTTGAAGAAGAGCGTCGAGCAAGAACAAAAAATAAGTGACGAAAAGTTTGCGGAATTAATATCAAAAATGGCCGAATATGAAGAACAATTCAATGCGGGTGATAAATCGCGAGATGATGGTAGACTTTCACCTATTGAAGAACGGATTAACCTTGAACAGCAGTATCAGGATCTCGAGGAAGAGTTTGAACGTTGGCGATCTAATGCTCAGAGTGAGCTAGCGAAGAAATGTCGCGAAATCGAAGAGCTCAATACAAAATTGCGTAGTGAAAATTCTTCGTCACTCACAGATTTCTCGGTACAATTTCCTGATGAACAGATGGATTTATATTTGAAGAATGGGGCTATGGATACTGACAGTTCTTATAAGAATAATTCACAGTTATTGAAAAAAACAATATTGCGTTCAACGTGTTACTGTATACAGGTATATTATATTTTTTCTTGTTTATTATTTTTATATAATATTGTATTATAAGTTTTGTATAAGGATAAAGATTTTTAAAAGAAGTTTTTATAAGGATATATAAATATATATATATTTGTAATTCTTAAAATAGAATAAGGCAGAAGCAAACAACAGCTACTTTTATCATCTAAAATGATGAAAGTAATCTATCAAATTGTTCTAACAATTGAAGTTATTACTATTACCTGTGTAGTACATCCCTCTAAAAAAAGTGAATTATAAATTAGAGGTGGTGATAGAATTTATTCTTTGTTTTGTATTTTCTCCTTCCAACTTTCTTCTTGTCCCTGCTCTTTGATAAATCAAATATACTCAATTTTTACGCTTTAGAAAACATTGGGAACTGCTAATATCGCTAATAATAATTGCTAATAAATGTTTTTATTTCAATCTCTCTCTCTCTCTCTCTCTCTCTCTCTCTCTATATATATATATATATATATATATATATATCTCCTCCAAATTTATAAGTACAGGTATATCATTCTAATTTAGATTTTATATTTTATGTATAATTAATCTACTATATTTCATTTTTCTAAGTAATAAATAATAAAATAATTGTAAAAAATTATATTTTTATATTATTTTGATTATAATTTATTCATTCAATACACTTTAAAAATATTTTTATCCTGTTAAAAAAATATATATATTATTATGCCAGTTTTTAGCTATTTTAAAAAAATTTTATATGTATTTTTATGAATGTATAGTGCCATAAATTAATGGCGCAAAGTAATTGTAATTGCTGTATTGATACTCAACATCAACAACAACATCGAGATAAACGAAAGAGTCGAAAAACCGAGGACAAAGAAAAACATTGTAGTCATAAAAAACTAATAGATATCAACCTCGAGTACAGTAATCTTATTAAAGAGAAGGAAAAACTTAAACAAGATATTATGAAACTGCGGAGCCTTAGGAATGTAAATACAAATCATATTTATCACCTTGGCACTGAAGATCATTTGTCTAATTTGTGTGCAAAGTTATGTCTTCAAGAACAGAAGCATAAATATTTTCAAATATTCTATCAAACTCAGCAAAAAGATAATGAGCGAATTCTACAAGGTACAGTGTTGTCTTAAATAAAATTTATAATCTAAAATTTATAATATTGCAATAGTTCATAATCATAAATAATAATATTATATGCATATAAATACGTATTAACATATTTTTCTCTATCTATAGCTAAATTTTTGTTCAGAACTAATTTTAAATGTTAACATACATTTTTTGTATTGTATTATTTAAAATGCTTAGACACCATCAATAAATATCTGGAAGATAAATTTTATTATGAATATGAAATCACAATTTATTTTCATATATTTAATCATTGTTAATAATTTAAATTACATACATTTTGAACTGATGTAATTATTTTAAAATGTTATATAGGAATGTGGAAACAACATCTTCTAGAAACATCAAATTTACGATTTGTTATCAAAACAACTGAAGAAAAACTTAATGAGCAAATAAAATTAAACAAAGAGCAGGTATATTATCTTTAATGACATGGCTATATCATATTTATAGATTATTGTTTTTACATTAAAATTTGAACATCTAACGTATAAAAAACAAATATATGAAATTAAAAAGTGTTACTTTTAGTTAATAAATTTAAACTAAATTTTTTAATTTTAATAAAAAGAAGTATAAATTTTTTTATATTATTAGAATACCTGTTATAGTGTATTTCATTCTTTTATAATTTGAATATATATTTTCTAATTGTTATTTTACGAAAATATATTGATTCCAAATAGAAACATATATATATAGTATTGATTAATAATTCATTATTATCTTTATATACACAAATAATTTTTAAATAGCTTTATTTAAGTTTTCAATAAAATTAATATTTCTTTTTTAGAATGAAAAATTAACGAAAGCCGATTTTTTAACTAAGGAATTGTATGTAGAAAATGCTCAGCTGTCTGAAACAATCAAGCGTCTGGATCAACACTGCCAAATTCTTACAAAAAATCGTATTGAACCATCCTCAGCTTGACTGCAAAAACCAAATTTTTATCAGACAATGCATTACTGTACATTAGTTGGGATGTGTATCTCAGGGATCAAAATGATTTATTGATAGTGAAAAGATAAAATGAAGTATTTAATGATTTAAAGATATAATTGTCAATTTATTCTTAGTTTCTATTCGTTTATTTGTTGCCCTAAATATGTAGTAATGTATGAAAGAAATACTTGTATAAGATTGAAAGCGAAAATATTTTGTTAGAGTATCAAAGGCAGCAGTGTTCATTTGTATAACTTATAGAAAGTGTAAAAGTAAATTAGTATAAATTACTGTAAATCATTTAATACTATGAAAAATCTATGCCATTTTTCATAAGTCAATATGATTCTTTATTTACTTAGTAATAAGTATATAAGAATTAATAAAATACTCTTCCAAGAGTGTAGAATAGGTAAAATTTATTATTAAATTTATAACTCAATTTCGAACATCAATTTGTTAATCTATTTAATGACAAATGTTACATATTAATCTTCTTAATAAACTATTCGTTAACATTTTAATTAAAAGAATTAATTAGAATTAATTATTAATTGTTAATATTTTCAAATGTAATTATTAAATAATATTTTAATAGAATTAGTTTTTTTGTAATTATAATCTTAAATTTTTTATTTAAACATAATTGAATACCAAAAGTATGTTATAAATATCTTATAAAATAATTCTAAAATAAGATATTCTAGCTCATAATTCATAGATCAAAATATACTAATAATAAGATAAATTAAGAATCATTATAAGGGTATTACTATTTTAATTTAATATTTGTAAAAAAATGTTATAGATTATTAAATGAAGTTTCATGAGTTTTTATATTGAAAACAATAAATGTATTATAATTTTGTATATCACTGCTTTCAATGAATACAGATATTTAGAAATAAATGTGTACATCATATAAAACTTATATTTAAGAATAAAAATATTACCTATGTTATATTATATTGTATTAAGGAAAATATATTGTGATATATACCTGTTTTATATATTATATTAATATAATCATTTCTTAATAAACTTGAATAAATTATTCTATGATAATATAATTATAAACAATATTAAAAAATAATATAATCATATTAACAATTAAAATCAGAAATTTTTTAATTAAATAAAAATTACATTGAGATTAGAAAAATAATTAAACAACCCCAGGAATTAATTAAGAATTGAACACAATTGAACATGCTTTATAAATATAATAAAAGGTTTGGAAAATAATTATATACATGCGTGTGTATATACGTACGTATGCATGGAAGAATATTGGAATATAGAAACAATTTATTTTTTAAATTAATAGTTATAAATTTGTATTAATATAATTCTCTTTATTTTTATAAATTAGTAATTATAGAGTAATGAAATTAATATGATTTGAAAACGTATTTTTTATGAGCTTAATTCAAAATGAATAAAAATTATTTTTTCATACTTAAATATTTCGCGGTAAAATCCTAATTCGGTTTGTAAGTTCTGTTGATAAGTTGGGTTACTTTTTTCTAACGGTGAAGCTTAACGCACTAGTTTTATTTAAACATAATTATTTTGCTAATATATGCTTAAGAGTATTGAATTTTTTGTAGTAAATATAAATCATAAAATTTTTTAATAATTTATTTTTAAAATTAATAGATTAATTTGTCATTAAAACGATCGATTCCCGAGTACATTTTATTTACAAATGGTTATTGTAATTATTTTATGTTCTTTAATATTTATTGAATTAAAATTAAAAACGATTTAATGAAAAGTGATTAATAGAGAGGTAAGAATGTAACAAATTATAATTAAATAAATTATTTTTAAATTTACTTTTAAACAATTTTATGAAAGCTTCAATTTAAAACAGATAATATGCAAAATAAATATTAATTATTAACATTAACAATGTATTTTGTAGTTAAGATTAGCTTTGTTATGGCACAATCATCATCTAGTGGAACTTTATCTCGAAGGCACTTAAAAGAGCATGATGCCAGTATACCAGGCTCACCTCGCTATGTTGATAGTGAATGGGAGAGTAAAGAGGTTAGAGATGTATATTTATAAATTATATATTAAATAATTTGAATTACACGTATAAAAGATAAATTTCTTACGATATTGACATTTTTAGATATATTACATATGTTATTATGAGTTTACTAAAAAACAAAGAACAAAATGTTATACAAAATACTAGTATAAAAATATGAAGTTATAATAATTAGTATTATAATTACATTTATTGTCTATTATATATTTTTTAAATAATTAATGTTTAATTTTATGAATTATAGAATTTTTATAAATTTACTATTATATTCTTATAGTATTTTTTTAATATATTATTTAGTAATTTTTAACTTCACAATAAGTTTATAACGAATGATTATAAAAACTAAAATTTAAAAATAAAATTAATAAGAATTTAACAAGCATTTTCAATTTGTGTTGAATTTAAAATATGACTAATAATACATTTTAAAATTTATTTTAGATCTAATTTGTATTTATTCAGAGCTTATATTAATATTTAAATTTATTATTAATTTATTATTGAATTTATAAAGAAAATTACAAAGTATGCATTTATTTTAAAATACTTTGGTAATAATTTTTTTTTAATATATTGTATATTATAAACAAATATTTTTAGATTAATAAAATTATTAGTAAAATTATAAAATTGTATTTCATTTAATTATAATTAGTTATATAATCTAAGTCGTAAAATTAAATAATTAAATCAATATTTCATAAAATAAAGTCAATAATAACTGTTCACTTATTTTCAATATTTTTATTTTTTTTATATATAATTTTTAAACTTTAAACTACTTTGGCTTTCAATTATGAATTATAAATGAATGTATAATAAATAGAAATAAGAGTTTATTCATTATTTTAGAGTATATTTGTTTTTTTTTATAAAGAAATACAGGATTAAATATTCTATAATTTATAAATATAATTATTATAATGTGTATTTTTATATTTTCTTGAATAATTAAACAATTCTACTATATTTTAATATTAATAAATTATAATGTATAATTTATGTATAATATGTATTGTGTATTATATATTATGTAGTATATATTATGTATATCATGTATAATATGTTATCTTTTTTGTTTAATTAAATTGTATTTATAAAATATTATTTATTATAATAAAGTGATACTGAACATAAGATAATATGTTTTAATTTGTATTGACTTCATTTGATACAAATTTTGCACAAAACTTTGAAAATATTTTATTATATATTTAATTCTTTTTAAATATTTATTTAAATCTAAAATTACAAATTCATATTAATTAGGTATTTTTCATCTGTTGCAGGTAATAATGCATAGAGAACTTGAGGAAGCAAAAGCAAGGGCAGGACAAATGGAGAAGACAATGCGATGGTGGTCTGATTGTACAGCCAACTGGCGAGAAAAGTGGTGTGAAGTTCGCGATGAGCGAAATAAAGCTAAGAAGGACATGAAACTTTTGAAAGCTAAATTGGAAATAACAATAAAAGATCTAAATGCACACAAAAGTGAAATTCAAAAGCTTAACACGGAAAATGTTCATTTTCGAAAGGAGGTGGAGAGGATATTTAATTTACTTCCCAATGATGTAAAAACTAAAGATCTAGTATCTGTACTGTCTGATAAAAATTGTACTAAACATTGTACCATGCACAAAAACAGTATAGATCAAGACAAGCTTCATTATCAAAAGGAAGGGCTCTCGCCTAACCCAGAGGTAGTGGTTCTTGATGACTTACAAAATAAGCGACATTCGCGAAGAGGTATGGTGAACGAAGAAATCCTTTTGCAAAAAATATCAATGCTTAATCTGAAACTTGAAGAAGCTACAAAAACTATAGTAGTTGAAAGAGAGTAGGTTTAAGTCTAATTAGTTGATTTTAAGATTTTTGCTTCTCTTTAAAAATATTTTTGGAAATTGTTTTGGAAATTAAATTAAAAATTTTTGTTAACTATATATAAACAGTAAATATTAATTAAAATGAAAATATGTACAAATATACTAATGTATTATTAAATTATATTTTTAATTGTAATACATTATTCACAAAATCATAATTTTTTTGTAAATTCTGTTATCAACTTTATTTGAGAATCTACACTTTATTTATTATATTTTAACAGTTTTGAAATTAATGAATGATATACAGTAAAAAGAAAATCTTAAATTTGCATATTTCAGAGAGAAAAATTCATTGCATCTAGGTTTAGAAAAATTGAGAATTGAAATAATTCAACTAAAAGATAGATGTGAAGAACTACAAGACAATCGATCGGATGCATTGAAAGAATTACTAGAAATAAAGTGTCGTTTTCAAGGTGAACTAAATGCTGCCCAGTTTAATCTAATTGATGAAGCTACTAATCGGGAAGGTATGGATCGTCGATTGGCAGAACTTCGAACAGAAGTAAGATTGTTTATTTTTATTTTATCTTAAATAATACTAGTAAATTGAGAAAAGAAAATTTTCTAGATTTACAGGTGATGTTTATTGTATAAAATGGTTTAATCTGATTATTAATTTCCATAAATTATTAAATTTTAGAACATATTAATATTATGTTTAATGTGGTTTCTCGCAATTCGTTCTGTAAAAATAATTTAATGTTAATAATTTAAATACATACTATTGAAAATCATAATATATATACAGAACTTTAATCTTATTTAAATTCTAGAAATAAAATTTTTTTTAAATGCTGAAATATGTAAATAATTATACAAAAATATATATATTGTATAGTAATCATGAATTTTTAACATAATTGCTATAATTCAGAATATTTGATGCAACGTTTTCATTTTGTACTCTGTATATAATAGTATATATAATAATAGTATACTATATAAAAGTAATTAGATACTTAATATTTAACTTAACTTAAATATAAAACTTAATTCAGATAATATAAATGTGTTGAACTACAGAATTATTTTATAATTTGCATTAGTTTTATTTTTAAAATTACATTACTTTAATAATTTTAAATTAAATAATTGATTCAATTACAATCAATCATTTAATGCTGAACTAACATATAAGTGCTCTTCAATTTTGTTCCGTTTAAATACTATGGTTATCAATGTATTAATTATTAAATACTGGATTAATTAAACACGATAATAAATACTTGAATTTTGGATTTAAATTTACAAATTTTAATGTATGCTCGCTTAATTGTAGATATTTCACTGGCATATTCTTAGCTGAAATATTTATAAATTTTGTAAAATATTTAAGGTTTAATATTTTATTTTCTTCATTAGAAATAAGAGTTTTTCTCCTATTTTAGTACTACATAATGTAATAATTTTAATTATTCTTTTCCTGTACATAACTTGTGTGACAATAATTTTTCAATAATTTATCATTTAAGTTGATTCATACAATTTTAGCATTGAAAAAGAAAATTTAATAAGCTACTTGTATTATTTAATAAAATATACAAATTGTTGCACGTGAACACCCTCTATAATATAGATAAACCAGACTAACAATCATTAAATTGTGGAGTTGGAGAGACTTCAATCAGAGAATGCAACTGAGTGGGGTAAGCGCGAGCGGCTGGAGACAGAGAAGATTTCACTTGAGCGTGAGAATAAGCAGTTGCGAGGCGAGCTACGAGAACTCCAAGAAAAGGTGGAAAATCGTCGAACACGCCCCATATCTAGTTGCGACATCGACTCTAAACAGATGCAGCTCGAGCTTCTGGAGCGGAATAAAGAGGTTACTGATCTTAAGCACTCTCAAGACAAACTTAAGAAAATTCTCACAGAGAAAACAACTGAATTATCACATGCAGTGAGGCGTTCTGAACAATATGAATCCGAGGTAAAAAGAATAAGAACTAGAGTTGAAGAGCTCAAGAAAGAGCTTACTATTGCACAAGATGACCTTGATACAACTCACAGTACAACGAGAAAACTGCAGAGCACCAACGAAGACCTCAATGAACAATTGGAATCTAGTCGAGCTCAGTTTGAACATTACAAAAACAGGTTTCGTATTTTACATATTTTTCAAATATATTTTTTCAAATTACAATGCTGAACTATAATCATTTTACTTCAAATTGATTTTGTAGATTAATTTTCTTTCATTGACATTTTTATTTATTCAATAAAATTAATACCATTTCAATACAAATTAGTTTTGCACAATATTTGAGAAAATATACTATAACGTTTTAATTGAGAAATAATTCTGTAAACATTTGTAAAATGGAATATAATAAATTCATTGTAGTTTAATAATATATTTATAATAAAAATACACATGCACACACACACATGCACGCACAAAAAATCCAGACCATGTAAATATCTAAAATATAAATTACTATAGGAGGTATTAATAATGTTATTTATTTAGATTAAAATTGTAAATAATTATCAATATAATTTTTAAAATTAATTTTAATTCTCTATTCTTAAGAAATAATAACTGTACATCTTTAAATTCACAGATTCTTTATCGATTGTTAAATAATAATTTCATTAATATATTCATGAAGGTTTTAAAAAAATTAATTAAAAATTCTATTTTTATTTAATAAAATTTAACAATATGGAAGTAATCTTTAAAATAATATTTCTATATATAGCGTTTCTGAAAATCAAGCACCAGATGTGGTAGCAGAAATTATAGACAACACAATTCATGATGGTAATGAAGATAAGAAGATCAACAAATAAAGAATAAATTAAAATTTCAAGTATATTTATATTTTAATGATGTAAAAAATAATAGAAATTTCGTAATTTCTTGAAAATTATAACAAAATTTTCTTAATCTCAAATATAAATAGGAAGTCTATAAAAGGAAATAATAATAAATATAGTAATTTTTACAATTTACTGTAGATACTCCAGATTATAATATTAATTAATATTTAGAAATTAAGTATAGATAATAAAATTTCTGCAACAAGTTCAAGGCATAATATATTAATATTTGAATTATATTTCACATAAATATTCATATTCATATACAGAAAGAATACATATTTTCATTTATTTTAAATCTGTAGAAATTTCACTATTTTACTTTTTACCATTTATATGATTAACTAATTTTATTTTCTACGTTATATTTATATATAAATATCTATATGCTTATCGTAAATTGGAGAAAATCGAGAATATGTATAAGAAAATAAAATGTTTATATAAATGATAACTCATGTTTATTAAAAATTGAATATTTCTTAAAAACAAACTTTGATTTTTCATACATCTGATTAATATTAACTATTTTGAAAATACAAAAAATGAATATGGTACATAAATCTCAGTGTTATAATTAACCCATAAGTGTTTTATAATGTTAGTAAAAAAATTAAAAGATTTATAATATTAAACCATATCAATGTAATTAAAATCAAAATTTCATTTTTCTAACATTATTAGTCAGAATTTTTCTTATATGCATTTACACTTAAGGAAATAATGTTTAAGATCACCATTTACTCAATTTTTTGTTTAAAGATTAATAAATTATTTTTTTATGTAAATAATATACATTGAAATAAAAAGTTTAGTGTATAACAGTATATATAACCTTTTTAAAAGTTCATATTATACAGTCCATACTTTTCTATTTATTAATCCAGGTTTCAGAAAAATGACAGTATTCTGTTTATTAGCAATGTAATATTTATTTGTGTTATGAAGATTGGACAATTTAAAGTGCAAATTTATTTATTAATTATTACAACATTAATTGGAGAATGAAATAAAAAAAAACATAGATAAAATTGATATTTTTTATTTAAATCATTTGGTCTAATTTCTGTACACAATATTTTCCATTTTTAATGCTCAAAGCTTAAAATAATTTTCAATTTTCGAATTTATTGAACATTATTTAATATTTTTAAACTAACGTAATATTATTAACGAACATTTCGCAGTCAATATATAAAAAAATTTTTTTTTTAAACTAAAGTTTCTTTAACATTTGGATGTTTTATCCGGGTACGTGGGTATTTTCGGTTTACAAATCTTACTTATTCCACTGGAACCATAAACCAAATTACAAGAGAAAGTAAAATAACCGCAAGTCGAACTCTTCGTATAATATTTATGTTCATAATTTTTTGTAAGACTCGTGTCTTCCATCTTACCAGCTATATTATTTGAAACTGAGACAAAATTCGTTTTGGGTGAAAGAGACTCTTCCTGAATTCTATAATTCTTCAAATTTCCATAATAAATACCACCAACACGATTAGAATGTAAAAATCTCTCGTAAGAAGGTTTTGAAATAGTACCATTGAATAATGCAATTACAGTCTTATTTTGGGTTGTAATATTTTTTGGACTAATTTGTTTTGTGAGTGAGGACGTCATATACCTTTTCTGGGTATTTGCTATGTATCCCGGCAATGAATCTCCAGTGTTATTTTCATGTTTTATGTTTTCACTGAATCCAGTATTAGTAAAGGAGGCCATTGTTTGATTTGTCTCATCTAATCCATAAATAGGTTGTATGTATTCTAAGTCACTATTATTTTCATATTCGTACTCCTTGTATTCATCATCAGCATTATTAAGATCATACGAATACGGTTGCTTTGATTGAAATGTCTTTTCAAGGTATTTATAATTCGGTTTCATAGTAATTGTAGCATGTTTTGAGCTTGCATTAGAAATTTCCAGATGCTCTTTAAATGCAATTTGAGTTGTCGTTTCTATTTTTTCATGTTTTTCAAACTTGATAGATTTAAATAACTTTGATTCAGGGTCGGTAAAATTAATTTTTTTTAGAGCTGTTGAACCTGCTCCAGATGAGGCTTGAGCAGCACCTGAATATGATATACCGTAGTGAAAAGAGCCTTGAAGCTGGGATTGAGATTGGCCTATAAATGTATTGCTTTGAGCTGAAGCAGTTCCACCACCATGAAATGGTTTTGCAACTTTTTCCAGTTTTTCATTTCGATTGATATATGGTTGGAATCCAATTTGTGCTTGACTCGAGGTTTGTCCATCACCATTTGCCTGTGCATCAGCCATGCCGCCTTTTGCACTAGCTTCCACTTGAGAATTTGTATTGTGATTCCAGCCATTACTTTGAGCATTAGTAGAAGTAATTCCAGAATCAGAATCTAACTGCACTTGAGTTTGACTTTTTCCGAGGCCACCGTTACCTTCGGCATGGCTTTGCACACCACCCTTACTAGCACTAACCTGTGAAATTATTTTACTTCAAAACTATTAAAAATATGATCGTTCCATTTATTTTATATTCTAAAGTTGGAAATTTTCAAAAAATAAAGAATTCTTATGAATTGATTTTTATATTTTGAAACAACTTAATCCAGTAATTAAATAAATTTGTATCCTAAAATTAAAATAACAAATAAAAACACTTATATATGATGGTCCTCTAAAAATTAAGAAAATATTAATTTTCATATAGCATTATATTTATTTAATAAAATAATGTTGATATTCTATAAAAGTCCAATTTAATTTAAAATATTTTCTGAAAGTTTTTCAAATATAAACTATATTAAATAAATATTTTTTTATTTAATAAATATTATTTATGATATAATAAATATTTTTAATAAGTGAATTCAGTGTGTATACTGTGTAATTTACTAATTAAATTATTTTATTTTTTTACAATTAATAATTTCAGTTTATAAGCTTTTGATATTTTACTAATACTGTACCTGTGTTTGAGCACTTTTTGTATCGTCGCTTGTACCAGCTTGGGCAGAAAATGATCCAGTACCGGTATATATTCCACTGACTTGCGACTTTGCATTGCCTTGGCCGTGTTTTCCTTGTGCCGATGCACTCGCAAGCGTACCTGCTTTACCTTGTTTTACAGAACTCATAGCTTGTGAGTCGGAAGTATCATCTGTTTTAATAACTCCCTTATTTGGTTGATTTATTGCTACCTCGTGTTCTTTAACATAAAAATTTTTAGAAGATTTTGGAAAATTTAAATTGGATTCTAGCGCATAACCTGTATTAGGAACAGCAGTTGCTTCATTTCTTTCATATTTCTCTGATTCTTTTAACATAGTATATTTGTCGATATTTCCAGGACTAATATTTGTACTGGGATAATTCATTTGAACAGATGGATGCATTTTTCCTGGTAGAAGAAAATTATAAAATATATAACTAATTATTGATTAGACATTGATCATATTTTTTGATAAAAGAAATAGTCCCAGATATAACAAAACTGATATTAAAGGATTAAAACAATTAAAACAATCCTTCAAATATACCATGATTGATAGATATTCTATTTTACAATATATTTATAATTTATTTATTTATAACATAGAATATTTTTATAATTAAGATTAAAATATTGCAATATTGGATAGTCAATACGGAAAATACTGCATTTAAAAAAGGCTTCTAATTTCTATGTACTTGTTCTTAAAGTTTCTCAAATTCTTATATATATATATATATATATATATATATATCATATTTATTGTTTCTAAATTATTTTAAACATTATAATTCTTATGTATATTCACATCATTACACGCTAGTATCAGAATTGGACAATCTTAATAAGATTTATATATATACGATTATACTAGGTATAATAGTAACGATACCGGTTTCTCGTGATATAAATTGAGTAGGTATACTTGGTTGAATAGGTCCATTGATTGTACTATTTAAATCCTCTAGAAATAATTCAAATATAAAATATTATATAATAACACATTTATTGATATATAAATATAATTAATTTTTTTTAAATTATATAAAATTAATATAATATTACAAAACGAATTTACTATATACAATAAATTCATGAGAAGGAAATTATTTTTATTTAGTTTATACTATATACAACGACTTTTTAATTCTTTAAGTTTATTTACTTGATAAAGGTTTAACAAATTATTAAATGATTATAACTTCAAAGGCTCAAGATTTTAGATATAACTTTAAATATTTACATTTTAATATAGATTATTTTTTTTTATATTTATACGGATTATATAGAGTTTAATTTATATATAATAAATAATTTTTAATTTTATATTCGAAATTAAGTAGTAAGTATAATTACCCATATTAGTTACTTCAGGATATTTTTTATCTTGAGATCCAAATGAAGTTTGAGAATCTAACGTTCCACTTGAAATATATGCCCCTTCTAAAGGTTTTATTCTTTTTGTATTTGCTATGGTACTTTGAGTGTTACGATCGCGATTTGGAATCCATGAACCTAAAAATTAAAATTTCCTTGAATATATATTCTATAAATACTTTCTCCAATATACATTTTATTTGTTTACACACCTGGTATATATATATTTTCTCCAACATTTTGATATTTTAATGAGCTACTTCTTATATTTGATCTACTGAATGGATATACATTGTCTTCTGTTATGTGAGTTCGTGAAATTGTATCACCCATATTTTGTATATTCACTGGATATGCCGTTTCATCGGAAATTTGAGTTCCTAAAAGATTAATTCCTCGCATTTCAGGCAAATAGTAATTACCTTTTGGATTTTGCATTCCTAAATTATTATCTAATATAATTCTTGAGCTGTGTGGATATCCACTATTAGGTATTTGAATTTCTGAAGTACCAGTTCCTACTTTTTTAGCTAATGAATTTATTTGTTCGGGTATTTTAATATTTGTGACACTGTCATCTACTTGCATCTTTGTTGGATTTAATATCGTATTTAACACTTGAGCTCTGGGTGCACCGTAATCTTTAAGTTGTATATTTGAGAAATATACTGGTTCTCTTAATAACGTATTTTGTGGAGTATTCTTTATTGTCATTTGTGTACTTGATTGATACAAGGATTCTTGGGGTATTTTCCTTTTTAAAATATCTTCGATTATAACTTGCGTGCTAGGTAAATATAAATGATCAACTCCTTCTTTTTGTATAATTGGTAAATATTTAATTTGATTTAAATTTTGAGCACCTACATTGTTATTCGGTGCTATTTGTGATCTTGGTAAATATATAATCGAACCAGGTATCTGAGCTGAAGCACTATTTGCTTTTAATGGTGTTTCTGGTGAATATATAGATACTTGCGGATTTTCTTTTCCTTCGTTACGAATTTGTATCACTTGCTTATTTGATGAATCCATATTGTTTCCTCTTATATTAGTTTTTAATATATCATCATTTACTATTTGTATAATTTCTGAATATGGAATTTGTCTAAGTATTTCATTGTTTGGCATATTCTCTTTTCTGATTTGGTTACCTGGTGGACAAATAATCATTTCTGATATTTGCGCATTTTGAGTATTATCTATCAATACAGGCGTTCCTGAATGATATGCCTTTTCTTTTGTTATTTCTGGTCGTAGTGGATTGCTGCTCCTTAATCGTGTATCAGGAAAATATGTATTTATTTCCAAAACAGGAGGATCAAAGACTGGATTATCCTTTATTTGTATACTTGTTGGATATACAGTTTCTTTTCGTTTTTGAGTAATTGAAGTAAAAATATTTTCTTTTGATATTTGGCTATTAGATTCGTAATTTTCAATTGTTTGTGTGCTTGGTTCATTTGTACTTTCTATTTGATTTGGTGGAATAAAATCCGATATTGATTTAGTGTTAGAACTATTTTTTTTTTTTTCTGGTATTTGAGTATCTACATACTTACTATCCATCTTAACTTGATCATTTTGATTGTACATATCGTTCCATGGTACTTGAATTTGTAAATAATGATTATCTGCTATTAATGTATCAGTTGGATACTTATTTCCTTTTATTTGAACATTAGAAGTTTGATCTTCTACTCCTTCCATTACTTGTGGATACGCGTTTGTTCCTGATATTTGATTTTTTAAAATATTAATTTTTTCTGCTTGAAATCTCGATGAATGTTTATGTATCTCTGGTATTTGAATAATGTGTGGAAATTGTTTTCCACTAGCTTCTTCAATTCCTGAATTAAAAATTTTTTCCTTTTTTGAAAATGTAATGTTAGACGGATAGACATCAGTAATTCTTTGAGTACCTAGATGAATGGTTCCAGAATAAATAATGGAAGAATATTACAGTTTCTAATGTTCGTTTACCTTGTGAAGAGTTTACACCTGAATAATGTGTGCCAAGCACTCTATCGAATATTTGCATTCCTTCATTGGTTCCTAAAATATAAATTCCATAATTCTTTGTTTTTTATTTGAATGGGTAATTAAATTCATAGAAATTAAATCTATGATATCTTCTTATATTTGCAACTCAGATAATATAAAAACGCATACCTATGTTTTGTATTGTACGTATATTAGGTATTAATTCTTCAAATTGTGATTTTTCTCTTTGAGTATTTTGCTCTATTCCTGCAATTTGAATTTCATTAATAAATTCAGACGGACAAATTCTATCATATTGTAGAAAATTTACGGTTATACTTGAAGGTGATTTTATTCCTGATTGTGTACTAATAACATAAGTTATTGTTCAAGGCTTAGTACTATTTGTGAATTGAATGGGCAATATTTGATATTTGAGCTATATCGATAATTTATGTAAGTTTATTGAATTCTTTATGTTAACATTATTACAAAATTTTTACAATATATTATATAAAACTTTATTCGTGATCTGTACTGAGAAAATTCATTCTAAAGACAATACAAAGTATACACATTTTTATTAAAAATTTTTTTTATTTTGTTAAAAACATAAAGTCTTGACATATAACGTAAGTGTAGTGATAATATTAGTAATGTATATAATTATATAACAAGATACTTTATATATTTATCATATTAGGACATTATATTGAAATTAAGTCATAGATATAATGAGAAATTCAATTTTAGATTAAAAATACTTTATTTTTTCACACCTGTTAAATAATCTTGTGCTCCCAAGATAAGATTTCCTGAATCATTGCTTGGCTTATTATATTTCGAGCAATTTTCACATATGCCAGAACCAAATGACATACTTTGAGCTTGGCCTATTCCACTACTTCCACCTACAAAGAAATTAATACATCATTAGAGTAAAACATCGAATGAATTATTTATTATATAATTAATTTTTTTATATATCTACGACAATATCAAAAGATTAACTAATTTAGAAAATATGTAATTACTTCCATTCGAATTAATTGTATTAATAATTATAAAATGTATTATTACCATGAATTATAATAGTTTTAATGCTTAACTCTTTCTATACTTGTAATATTTATTATATAGTAATAAACTACATTATGTATTACATTATGATACTTAAATTAAAAATCATAATATATTTTTACAAATTTGAATATTAATTTCGAAATTTATTTAACTTAAAAATTAAGTAAAATTTATTTAATATTTTTAATTCTATTTATATAGTATATTCAGTAATTTTTTGTTACATATTTCTCTCTAATATTAATAAAATATGTTTTACATCATAAACCAAATTCATAATATATAATATAATATACCAAAATATATTATATTAATGCAATTAATATAATATCTTAATCACGGAAATTATGATTTTTGATAATGAAAATAATAAAATCTTAATTTTACATTATGAATTCATGTAATTAAACATACTTCGTGCAGACAACCCTTTGAGTTCAGTTATTTATAATATTAATATTAATACTATATTAATATTAGTATTTTCGATGTAAATTAAATATTTGTGAAATAAATAATGAAGATGTTTTGGTTTTAAAATAATGCAGAAGATTTTATGCATTATTCTAAGAAATTAATTGTAATTTCCTTGTTTAATAATTATTATTTATATCGTATATACTAGTCTAATTTTAAAACTAATGTACTATTTTAAATATTTTAATATTTAAATAATTTATGAATAGTGGAAAAAATAAACTTACTAACAACAGCTCGCGAAGATTGTTGAGTAGCTTGGGCTTCTGCTTTTCCTTCGTTTTGCCTATTGGTATCAATATTAAGGTACTGAGACTGCGTTTGACCATGAAATCTATTTATGAAAGGTAAAGCTTCCCGTTTTTTGTGCAAGCGCATTTTATGAGTTGTTTTTTGAAGATTTTTGAGTATGTATTGTTTAGTAGATTTTTTCGCGGCCCCAATAGTGTTATCTTCCTCGCGTGGATACTTAAAAAAAATGTCGTTATCTTCATTCGATAATTCATTGTAATAACTGTTATCGTCGTGATTGGGTATAGGTATAATTTCTTGTATTAAGATTATAATTGCGCCCTTACAAAAATTTACAATCTGTTCTCCAGCCATTATCCACGCCTGAGAGGAATTAATGTACTATATTGAGTCATCATTGGATGATCTATTTTTATAGGATTATTAATTACTCAATTAATGATTGAAATTTAGATATTGTCTTTATACAATCGTTTTTTACTAAATACAAAATTATTATAATATGCATAATATATAAAAAAATTATCTTTTTGTAATAATAATAATTTATTATATTTAATTGCAGTGGCAAAAGTGTAACTATCAACATTTAAATGTAATTATTTGGTATATACTTACTTAATTTAAAAATAATAGCTTTTAAAAGAAAAAGTAAAATTGTTATATATACATTTTTACTTTCGCATTATATACATTTATTGAGTCATAGCATTTTATTATCTTAATAAACGTGTCCTAAATTTTCAACAAAGTTTACATTATATAATTAAAAATTATTTAGTAGAGTAATAGTAATAATGGATTACATTAGCATGAATTAAAATTATGAAATATTACTATTATTATAAATCATAGACCATTCATAACTATTATAAACTATATTATACATAGTTTATAAATTGTCGAATATTTATTTCATTACTGTAATAAGAATTATAATTTATTAAAAAATAAGAAAAATAATATTGAGTTGACTATTCTTATTCTCATAAATGTAGATGAAATAAAAAAAAAGTTTTTCATCATTGTTTAAAATAAATTCACTGATTATGTTTAGATCTAAGGATTATGATTACAATATTACCTTAGTTTTTGTTAAGTAAACAGTTGAAACTGGATATTTATCATGTTGTGTCATTTTTTCCAGATAACAAAGTCTATTATTGTTTACTTTATAGGCTCTAATGTGCTATTAAAATATAAAGAAAGTTCTTATAAATAGTTCATGACTTTTTATAATAATTAAAAAATTTATTTAGTTATATTCTATACCGTTTGAAAATCTGATAAAATCCTTGCCCTCTTAAATCGTAGAAGATAAGCTTTTGCAACATATTTCATTTCATTATTTACCGATCGATCAAATCGTGTTTTCTCCTGAAACATTAATTTAAAAAAAATTGAAACTGAAATATGTTAGAGTTGTATTTTAAACCATCAACTCCGTTCAAACTTCACTAAATTTAGAATATACGATACGCACTAACAACTTACCGGATCACATGAAAATTATTATTTGTACTAAATGTGCATGTAGTCTTTGTTAATAGTAAATTTATATTAATATTTAATTACATGGGTATTTAAAACTTTTGAAAAAAAATTTAATAAATACGCATATATATATATAAAAAAATTACTTTTTGTAATGACAGAAAATACTTTTTAAAAAATATACTAAACTTTTATTTTAGTATTTAAAAAAAAATAAATATTTTATGAAAAAAATGTTTAACTAATGTTTGAAAACATATTAAAAGTGTTTGAAGTAAAAATTTTCATATTTCATTACATGATATGCTAAGTAAAATAAGGTAACAGAATTTTTCATAATCTTTAATATAATAAAAAGAATTTAATAAATATTAACAGCTTATAAATTTAAATCTACATTTTATTTTAAGTTTTATATAAACATGCTTATTAAATGAATAATAATAATGAATTTAGAATACATTTACAAATATTTAAAATAATGTTTCTAATTTATAAATCTTCATAACCCCATAATATATATTCTGAAAAGATTTATATTAACATTTTTATAACATAAATTGTATAAAATGTTTATAAGTTTATATATAAATATGCATAACATCAAATAAACTTCTATTTTTACATGCTATTGAACATTAGAAATAAAACGTAGGTAATTAGAATAATATCAGTCTTGATGACAAAATAGAAATGCATAAAATGTTTTAGCACTACATAATAAAAAAGGAATAAAATTTTATTTGAATAGAATGTAATACATTATACTTGTTAAAATTTTAAATAAAAGACGTGTCTCACTTTTCTTTTATCAATTTCCCCCAACGAACTTTAACTTCCATCGTTTCAAAATAGCTTAGAAAACTCAGAGAATCTTAAAGTGTTCATGAATTATTTCCACTAAACTTATAAGAATATTACTGCTTTCATTAATAATATAATAGGATTTGTCAGCTAAATTAAATTAAAGTTCTATAGAAATATGAACTACAATTTTCAACAATATTTAAACAGAATTATTAATAATTATTTTCAAACATTTAAAATATATAATATTTATATAAAATCATATACGGTTTTAAGCGAAGGTGTTCTTAAAATATAGAACTTAGAATAAATTTCACGATTACCTTTTTATACTGTCAGCA